CGGTTTTGCGGTTTCTAATATACCCCAATGCCCCCCTCCTATAGAGATACTGTCTGTTCTCCGCTTGTGACCATTCAACACCGCAAGGTCACCCATCCTGGATGGAAACCATGTCTTCAGATGCCGCACACTGAGATGAGAATGAACACTCGCCAGCAGCACTGGTTGCAGGATTTACAGCAGGCAGCTTACAGATAGTTTGGACTTCCTGAATTAACTTCTTTTCTGGTTCTGGAAACTTTGACACCACCAACAGGATTTCATCAAAACATGATGTCTTCTCCTTTAACATAACTTCCAAAATACTTAGTTCCATGCATAGGTAGTACCCCCGTATCAACATCTTCCCTGTGTGATGTTTCAAGAAACTTGAACTGTTCCTCATAGTCATCACCATTAGCAGCTTTAATCAAAAAGGTCTTCATCTGGGCGTAGAAGCTGTTGCTTTCCGGATTAAAGCCCTGATCGATAGCACTGACAATAAGATCAATAGACTCATAACAGACCCTTCTAAATTGATCCTTGGCAGTTTGGGGGTACCTTGGTGCACCAGTGCCAACCTCCAGTTTGGCCGAAGTGCATCGCTTTCTTGGAAGCGTTGGTTCACCAAAAAGGCCTTCACTCGTGCAGGAAACATTGGCACAGAAATGGCTGAAGCTCTTATCACTAGTGGGTATTTTTGTGAGTGTCTCCTTTGTTAGATTTGCCAGGCGCTGTCCACTGACTGCAGCCACCTTACTACCCTGAAGATCTTTAGATATAACTAAGATTATGGTGTGGGAATAAAGCTACTCTCCAAGACGCAAACTAAAGAAAAAGTCAAAGCGTTACATTCAGGCCTTATATCCTATTATCGTTGAACGCACATTGGGTTGTAATCATTCGGACAAGAAAACATCCCACTCTTCCATAAGGACTGCATAGTTCTCAAGAATTGGTCGAAAACAACTGGCTCTAACCGTCCACCTTTTAGGGCAAAGTCCAATAATTTTCAGGAATTTTCTCCATGTCAACTGGAGCCCTAAATAATAAATCCCAGCAAAAAAGTGGTAGGCGGGCTATAGCCCTACCAGCCCCTCCCCCTCCACAGTTCCTGTAACAATATATAAGAAATAAGGGCCTAAAAACGGCCCTGGCACACTTAAGATCTTGTCGAGTTCTGCCATACTCTACAGACAGGCTTTTGAGCATAAAGCAATCAAATCTGGCCATTTAATGTAAAATCAGCTGAAACAATTGGCAAAAGTTCATTTTTAGGTTTATTGATTAAACCCAACTCGAAATTTTGCTTTCTGTGCATGCCTGAACTTTGTAAGCCAATATTTTGCATCTGGATCAGAAGGCTGCAAAGTGTATGACCAGCATTTTGACATTATGGTAAGAGTTAGTTCTTTATAGGGATGACAGTGACCAAAAAAACCAAAAACCGCTTGATTAGCCTCAAAAGACATTTTTCGGCAAAATTTCCTGAGGTCAATATGTTAAAATAAATGGATTAACCTTGTTCCCAGAGCCCTTTCTTTCTCATCCCCAGGAACAAGAGAGAGGGGAAAGAGAAGGAGAGGACTTTGGAAATGAGGTTTCAAATACGTGTGATGAGGATAGCCTGACAAAACAGCAGACATTTCTCAACACCATCACTGTTTTCCCGGCAAAGTAATATCTGAGGAAGAAGTTTAGAAATTCCAAACTTGTTATGTGTCACTACCCAGATCTGGGTCGTACAACTGATTGGCGGTGCCACAAGGGAAATATTCTTTAACCAATCAGGAGCACTACCCCGATCTGGGTAGTGACATGACATCTTTAGGGAATAATTTTCTGCACTAGTTCCTCAAACATCATTTTGAGGGAAACCACTTCAAGTGGCATTGGAAATGTCAGCTGTGTTCTGAGGCTCTGATTAGAAGTAAAGTTTTATTATCTGTCTCAGTCACTATCATTCAAAATTTAGTTTAATGGGACAGTGAAAATCATCACATTATTTTGTGCATTGGAGATAGTAAAACATGATTAAAGTTCTCCTTGTTAGGTGGGTAAACTACTCTATACATGTGTCCTCAAGATTTTCTAGGTTGTACGATTTAAAGTGCATCCATTTGAAAGCTGGGATTTGGATTTCAAAGTAATATGGGACAAGATTTGAGGTTGAAAATTTGCACGGGATGTGGGATTCTAAAAATATCCATCCATTGAGCAAGAATTTGGTTTGGAATGACTGGATTGAAAAAGCCTTTTTGCCACTTTAGCAACGTGCGAAAAGGGAAATGGAACCAAATAAAATGCATTTGTTTCCTGCTATTGGCCGATTTTTTTTCCTTGTCACTCGTAACAGTCCCAGAAGTCTTTGCTAAAGTAAAGTTCACCCAGTTCCCTTTTCATAATCTAAAGTGGTGAATTAAGGACCCTACTATGAGATTCATGGTTCAGCCATTACATAAAGTAATGCAAAACACAAAACGTAAAGATCAGAACACGCTAAGCATCCTGTTGTGACAACAAACCACTCTTTGTGAGGAGAAGTTGTTGCACCAGATTGTGGTGACATATTGCAGGGACAATTTGCTTAGAGTAGTGGAGAATTTTTGTGAAAATCGTCGTCTCTGCGGCAGAATTTTGTCACCAGGACAAGTTACAAAAGTCAAAGCTAGTGTGTGCTGATCAGTAATGAATTATATATATCCTAAGGAATCTGTCTTTGGAAAGAACAGGATATCATAGTTAGATAGACTTCCACAATCAGCCAATAAGAGGTTAGCCAGTCCACATGTATTCTGTGCCATGCATACCTGGGGTCAGTTTTATTACAGTTTTACAAGTTTAATTTACAACTGTAGCCATTGTTTTAGAGTCGGACAACAACAGCTACACTTACAAATTACACTTGTAAAAAATTAATAGAACTGACCCCTGTTTTATACCTTCCTTGGTCATGTAATTTGTTGATCTGGCAACTGACTATCATGCTATGCAGTTCGAGCTATTCACAATACCTACAAGGCACCAATACTAATTAATTATTTGTTGAAAAAAACTGATGCAGTGATTATTTACCCTAACTTACACCACCCATGTGCTGGTTTCTTTCAGGATTCAAAAACAACTAAAGCTTGCTAATTAGATCCTGGCTAGACACCAGGTAAGATATTGCAAACCTTCTTCCCCCCGTGTTTTTTTGTGTGTCCTATGCAAGCCTTATTCAGGGGCATTAGGGACTGTTCATTTTTTATCAGGTAGTGGGGGCTGGTGGGATTTGGGGGGGGCATGCCAAAAAATATGGCTTCAAAGGAGGGGGCAGGGAAAAAATATTAGTGGTGAAGGGGGAGGGGGTTCCCCACCCCAAAAGAATTCTTTCAAGTTTTGTAGTGACGACATCTGTGACAACAGGGAGCTTAACAACGGCATCGAAGACGTCACCCAAAAAGTGAATTCCCTGCTTCAAAATTCATCGCTCTTATTGTAACTCTTTTAATAGTTTGTCAAATGTTAGCGTTAAATTCTAAAGGACTGTATCTAAGTTCCCAAAAAGACAAAGAAAATCGTTGCCATGTGTTCCTGTCCTCCTTAAAACGTGAAATTAGGAATTTTCACATCATCTGGTCATAGTCTTGCAGTGACAGCAAAGACATGTACAAAAAAGCATGGTGCACGTGCAAATGTGTTGTTTTGCTTATCTAAACCTATTGCTTTTTTGCCGTTCTCTTTGCCGTCGCTGTCATCTTTGCTTTTCGCTCCATAATGCAAACAACCTATCAGAATTCCAAAAAACCTGCATTTCTGATGTTTAGCCTAAAGTTCATTTTTTCGCCGGGAAGCACTCCCCTGGACCCCTTACTTTATTCTACCCCACCAAAATGACCCAAATAAATAATATCCAGTCCCACAATAAAAAATAGAATGTCTCTCGCCTTTGACCACGTAACTACTGTAGCAGTGTTATTTTGTTGCTTCAGGTAACGTTTGCTTAGTGTTTAGTGTTACCATCGATCGGTTTGAGTAGTGTTGTGGGTGTCATAGTGTAAGTGTGAGGGAGAAAAACGCTACAAAACTTCCATTCGATTTATGTTCAGAGGTCATTTTTGATAATTTCATTTTTTCTTCAACCTTTCTTTTTCAGGTTTTCTCGCTTTTTGTTTTGAGGGAGGAGGGGGTCATCATTTCCTACAGGAGCTGCCCTTCAAATCCCACCAGCTCCAGTCCCACCATCCCATAAAAAATGAACGGTCTTTTAAATTGCGACTCAAATGTTATGGCTGAGTCGAACATAAACATAACACATCTTTTTTAATAAAAGCTAAAGGAAACTAACTCAGAAACACCACTAAAACAGTTTGCTACGTCATAAAATGTCACGTGATCTTTTTTGTTTCGCGTAAAGTAGCGTTTTTGAGTCAAAAAAATGATACGATTTTGGGCAACTATAAAAGGTTTATGTTACCGGGAAATCAACTTATTTTGCGAGGAAAAAATGTTTAAAAAAAATCACAGAGATGGTTTTTTAGGGAAACGTATGGTTTGGGAGGTGCTCTTAAATATCTTTGAAATCCAATAACTTGAATATTACGTGTCGTGTCGTGTCGTGGCGTGGTTTTCACTTTTTACTCCCCTTCTAAATCTCTTTCAGACTTTTCAAGTTTGACTTTGAAATTAAAAATTCATGTAATCCACTTTGATGACCTCAGACGTTTTGACGTCATAACTTGACATTTTGCGTCAAACAGAAACTTAAAATAAAATAGTTGGCACGTTTGGTCAAGAGATGAAAATAAATGTAAAAGATAAATAAATTTAGCCTTTAGTCAATGATCTCTTTGAGGGATGGTTTGGCCCAACCGTGTATTTCTCAGAAACTGCTATGTTCTAATAAATAGCTAAAATATAAAAAGGTTTAATTTGATAATAACCATTTTCCGAAAAGCGATAGTCTTGAGTCTTTTGTTAAACGTTTAAATTGTCAGAACATCTAATTTCTAGTGGCATTGAATTTTTTGTTTCAAGGCATGAGCTACACTATTGACATTCAAGAAGGTCCTGAAGAGAGCTTTCCTCTTGTTGGACAAACTCCGGAGCAAAGTGACCATTGTTATAGCCCAAGTGGCTCATTTGGTCTGCGTCTTCTTCAGCCTGATGGCCACCGGTCAGACCAAGAACAACAAGCGCAACAGATGGCAGGTTATGGTACAGGAAGTCAAACTTTCCCCACAGGTATCGCATTTTCCGGAGGAGGTATTCGATCAGCAGCATTTTGCTCAGGTGTACTGCGTTGGATGCTGAAGAATAATCAGAGAATGGATTATCTGAGCTGTGTGTCCGGGGGAGGTTACACGGGGGCAGCATTTCTCAGCTGGATGCACCGTAAAGGTCCGGATACTGAAAAGTGGCAAGATAAATTCTTTGAAAAAATGCATGAGAACGCTGGATATCTCTGCAACTTTCAAAAGCCTCGCTCTGCAATCCTTGACCCAATCTTTTTCATATTTTTTTTTATCGTTACTGTGTTGGTTTTGCCGTGTTTGCTCTGGTTTCCCTACGCATTTCCGATGGCCGAAGCAGTTGACTTCTTGTGTGGAGACATCTTGCGTGAGAGCAGTAGCTGTAATGAGCCCGGCAATCAACCAACTGTTGATCCAAAGAAGTCAAAAAGCTCCTACCTGTTGATGGAACTGTACGGTAACTGTAGCCCAACATCTAAACGTATCACCCTCTTCACCACAACGTTTGCGTTGTCCTTAATTTTGTACATCATTTCAAGGTCAAGATGTAAATTCTCCCGCCGTTTCAAAGGCCTCTTAAGATTGTTTTCAACCGTCATTGGTTTGTTCTTTGCCTTTACCTTTCTCCCATGGATAACTTATGACTTTCTTTGGCCTGTACAAGTCTGGATTCAAGTTGTAATATTCTTCATTTGCCTTGTACTTCCTTTCTTTTTCCCTATTATTCGTAACTATGCAGGCCTTTTCCTTATTTTTTATGTTTATGTGTTCATTGTCAGCTGGAAGGTGTTTAAGATAGAGCTGTTGGGCGAGTTTCCTTATTCGGATACTCTTTTCTATCTACTGTTGGTGATATGCTGCGCGTTGATCGTGCTTTTCCCAATTCTGGCAACTATGCACCGTGCTCTGTTCAACGCTTACTACAGGTTAGTAAAACCTACCGACAAATAGTTTGTTAAATTCTCAGAATAGAAAATTATTAGATAAAAAGAGCTGAAAGCAATTCAGAAATTTATAGAATTGGCATGAATGAATCTACTGATTTCCGAGTAGTTATAACGAACAATAAACGAAAAGTTAAGGGAAAACTTGGTCATGTAGTTTCACGTGGTACAAATTCACGTTTGCTGTTTGCCGTAAATGTGACTCTTTTGAGACCCTAAGATCGAGGTTTGGCCATCTTATCGTGAACGGCAAACTGCGCTTTGCGGATAGCGTTTTCACGTGACCCGTCTGCCCATGTTTTGGCACGTCTGCCCATGTTTGTTTTCATTGATTTGTTCGCTTCTACTGTATTTTCGCTGAGAAGTCGTCTTCAAAATTACATTTCGACGAAATAGAATTTGATACATCGTAAGTAAAAAGAGAGTTCTAAAAAGTAATGTGGATTTGTGATGTTTTAGTGTGCGAAAGAATCTTGCGAAAAATCACCTACCTCTAGAGAATGGTCTAGCCGTACACACGGGAACTTCAAACCACAAACGACGCTTTTAAGGATATCTGCATAGCGTTGGACCCATTCAGTATTACGTAGACGTTTACACAGACATTAATTCAGTGAAGTTTACCTCAAAACTAAATTAAAAACCCCCGTCCACGCAACCTGCGATTGCAAACTTATCTCCCTGGGCCCGGTTCCTGAAGTGTCGATTAGCGTTAATCGAGGATTAAAATTTTGTTCCGTTTTCGTATTTTACATTCCTATGCATTGCTTAGGGTAACATTTTGTGTTATTATTACTGTATCTCGTAGTAAAGACTGAACAGTATATTGTAACCTCGAGTTGCAGGTTCTTAGACGAGAAAACCATGCTTGAAATTTGGCTTGATCCTGGGTTAAACTTAACCATCTTTCGAGGAACCGGGCCTGATCTGTGGTCGTCGCTTCTCTCCACCCGAAACTGAGTAACCTTCTCTTCAAGGGGAGAAAAGCGGTGGAAGTACATGTGCGTTCGTAGAGTCCTGCAGTCTACCGGATTTGTATTGGGATTCATCTTGTTCCCAGGGCAGTCAAATTAACCAAGCCGGTACTTACTGATCTCTTTCTTTTTAGCAGGGCGTTAAAGTCTCATTCTTTGAATGTACTCGGTCCCGTTCAAATAAATCTGTCTTAAGTTAGCGTTTTTAAATTAAATGTAAAACGACTAGTCGACTTCCTATTATGGGTTTAGGTCGTTTAGCGTTGGTGTCAAGAAACTCAGGCTTTGTTTATTTAGGTCGCCACTTACTTAAAGGAGCATCTAAAAAATCTGCCGCTTATATAAAAAAAGGTTTTTGGCTGTCAAGATGTAATATATCAAGCATGAGACGTAGTGTTTCATCACCAGATGAAACACCGGGAAGAGAGTTGAAAATACGACGCGCAGCGGAGTGATTTTTGACGAACTTCGAGGTGTTTCATCTGGTGATGAAGCACTGTATCAAATGTTTTATATTTCTTCTCTAACGAAATGATTTTAGAGGGATAAATGAAGGATACAAATTTGAGCAGTTTTTCATCTCGTTTCCAAACACTCATTAAACATTTCCTTTGTATTTTCGTTATGAATTGTTAATAAGTTTAAGAGGTTAAAATTAAGCACCTGTCGACAACATCTCGCGCGTATACCCTGCGCGTGCGCCTGTGGTTATCGATATAAACACAAGTTATAATAGTCCGCTTATTTCTTTGCTGCAGGTGGTCACTATCCAAAGCCTTTTTCGATGATCCAGAAGGTTTCCCGTGGAAAGATGTGTTTCCTTTTTGCTGGGTCGTTTACGAAAGCTTGCGTACTTGGATTGGGAAGTTTAAAAAGAGCCCTCGGCAGCACGACATGGACGAAGAAGAACCTCCTGTGGACAAAAAAGAAATTTATTTGAGTGATCTAAGCAATATTCAACCCAAATTTATCAGCAACATCACTGTGAATGATTGGCAAATAGGCAGCAGACAAGGTCCTTGTCACCACCTCATAGCATTTTCGCCAGAAGATGTAAAAGTTATTGGCAAGTATGTGGATGAGGAAGGGAAAAGTGTCAAGCCTGAACCTTTGTCCGATCTGAATAATCGTGATTATGTACAGCTGTTTAAGCCCGAACATATGCCTTTGTCTCAGGCAATGGCCATATCTGGTGCTGCATTAAGCTTTGACATGGGCAGCTATGAAACTAGTCTAGATATGATATTGGATCTCTTGTCTTTGTTGGGGCTTGGTATGGGAGCAGAATTGCCTAGTGACCAGGTGACCCTCAAAGAAAAGCCATTTCGCGAAGCTTGCAAACAGGTATGCACACTGTTAATTTTTGACACTTTAGGGCTGAAACATTTTTGTGTGTGTCAGTAATACAGCTCTGCAGGCCAAAGACTGAATAAGCCTCTCTTGGAGCCATTTGAGTCCCATAGGCCACTTCCGGGTTCCAAAAACCCTCACTTTCAAAATGAGGCTAGGTGCAAAACCTTTCTTGTGAAAATGAGTTTTATTTGCATGAGAATGAAAAATGATTTCCATATCAAAGGCTGAGCACCTACCCTCGTTTTGAAACAGAGACTCGGGGAACTCGAAAATGGCCTATTTAAGCCCAAACAGCCTCATCATATACCTATTCCAGCCCACGCTGTAGACAGACGCTGGGACTCATTTCATCCCGTGGGTCCAAGTCAGCCCTAGGTACAGTGGAACCTCGATGTAACAAAGGGGCAAGAGACTGGCAAAATTTGTTCGCAATACCGAGGTTTCGTCATATCGAGATTGTTTTTCTGTTTTCTATTTTTGTTCGTTATAACGTGTTTCCATTGTAATTGAACTGTATTGTCCTGATTTAGGGACCCAAATTAAGCCCCCCAAAGTAGGACTGTATTTTACTCCGAAAGGGTCCCAATTTTTAGGATCAATAAAGATATTTTTGATTTAAAGTGCATGTTTCGGGCACCTAGATTCCCGTTAAACTTACTGTTCTTAAGCACAGATTGCGATAAAGGAAATGACAACCTAAAAGAGCCTTCCCCTCCCCCTTAGGGTGTGTTCTGGGAAAAATATGGGTGAAGTGGCATGCTTTTTCCAACCCCCTATTTCAGTTGAAAAAAAAAAAAAAAAAAAAAACGCGATTTTCTCTACCCCGGAGCATACACACTCTGATACACGTTCCCGCCGCAACTCGGCAGATCTTGTGTCAACATTATCTTTACATTTTGAGAGCCGCACGCTAATCACACAAAAGTTGCGTCTTCTAAAATCCTAGCCTGCGTAAACAGCCGTTTCTCCTCGCTCCTCGCCAAAGAGCGAGGACAAAACGGCTGTTTTCGCAGGCTACTAAAATCCATATCCAGTGCGCGACCAAACTGGGCCATAAACAGAGCTCAAAAGCCATACCCTTGTACACTGCACATTCCCCGCCCTGTGGCTGAAAAAATGGAGTGCTCCTCCATCTCGCCTCCCAGACCACCCGGTCTGACAACATCGCTTTGGCATACAACTTTTTCACTAATGTTATCATTTCGTTTAGTTAAAATCTCTTAAAGGAAACTATTCTTGTCGAAGTGGAGCAAGTACACCGCTTTTTAAAACAACTCTGATTGGTCTTTTCTCTTGTATTATGTAGTTCCAGAAAATATCCTTCTCCCCAACGGAGGGCACTTTTGCTTTAGACCCTCTACGCCAGGGGGTGGTTGTCATACCCCGGGCCCCCTATGGAATTTCCGTAATTGTTCAACTTGCTCGGGTACCCCCTGGAAACAATATTTCCGTCAAAGATTGCTTTTGCACTATATTATTATGCGAAAGATATTTTTTATTCTTGTTAATACAGCCTTTGTCTAATAATCTCGAAGAGTTTCCTAGCTAGTAATTAACCATGGAGGCGATACCTGTTACACTTCTGATTACTGACTATTCTATGTACCTATCTAGACGTTTATGTCACCTTTTTCTTTAGACTTTTTTGTTCTAGTTAAAAGTGTTGTTTGGTGTAAATGACATGCCCTGCTTAATACAGACACCCCGTTAGTACAGACTCTTTCTATGGCCCATTCAGTTTCCTTATTAACGGGGTTTGACTGTGCTTCCAAATTGAGTCAAATGAAATATAAAAGTATAAAAACAACTAAAGCATCAAACAAGGCACGGAAGAACAAATTGAGGAAGGAATAAAGGGGATTAGAAACTGTTTTCCTTGACAGATTTTTCAAGTTTTTTTTTTGTTGTTGTTGGAGACTTATTTGTCACGATTTGTCATTCCGAAGTTTGACTAAATTGCCATATATACAGATAGTCTGCAAGAAACTAACTTTAATTTTTTCTTAATTTGTCTTCTTTTAAAGTTCCTGTTGGAGGTGCTTGTGTTATCTCCTCTCATCGCCATTTTGTTTTGCTACCTTTTGGGAAGCAAAATCAATGTATTAACTGGGTTGATTCTTGTACACATTGGCGTTCTTTTTGTGTTATCTTTCATTGCCGTGCAAGATACTGGATTCCCTGAGGATGAAGGCGGTTGTAATGGAATGTCTAGCATTCTACGGTAAGTAAAAAACTCTTTGAGCATGAAGAAAGGCGGTGTTATTTTAAGCTCAGTTATGATGTATCGTCATGTGACAAACGTTGGCTAAGGCCTGTTTCAAACGTCGTTCTACTGCCTTGCTAAACTGGCTCGACTGTAACTCGACTGCAGCACGACACTAGCACGACTTGGTTTCAGACGTCGAATTTAATTCAGTCGAATAGAACGGCTGATGCCGAAAACAAAACACAAAAATAAAGAAACGGTTTAGCAAACTTTTAAATATATTCTAATGTGTTTATAATTTATGAATTGAGTTCGGCACGGCTGTAGCACGACGTTTGAAACCAAGTTGTGCTACCACTGCCGTGCTAAAGTCGAATTTAATTCGATCAATGGAGTTCGGCACCGCAGTAGTACGACGTTTGAAACGGGCCTAAGAAAATAACTGCATTCTCGAAAAGAATTCCCGTTACCTATGACCTCCCAAACACGGGCCGGGGCAGGCGCTTTGTCCGATTGAGCTACGATTAGACCCATAGAGTAAAATAGCCTGTTCCAGGCTCTCAGATAGTACGAATGAGGCCTAAGTGTAAAGCATGCGAAAATGTGAGCGCGTTATCTGGTTTCTTGTTTTATTTTCGTGTTCACGCTTTCTCAATTTCGTGGACCCGACTCTCTCGGAGCCTGAAACAGGCAAGGGCCCTCATAGAGAGAAGGGTTATTTGCCTCTTTCATCAAACGTTTCTCTCTTTTGACATAGACCAGTTTCGAATGGTTAAAATTCACAGTTGGCTCCGGGGTGAGGGGTATACAGTATAAAGGTGCAATAAAACGAGGAACAAAGAAAAGAAATGTTACGTGTTCTGCCACCCACGTTCAAACCTGTCGTGCAACAAATCTGGTTGGTGGAAAATGCATGAATACAGACGTCTGATTTGATAAATTATGTGGGAGTCACTCCAAACACGGATCATCGGCAAGTAAAATGTACAGCATGAACAGATTTTGTGGCAAAGAGTAGATACTGCAACAACTTTTCTCAACCTGCAATAACCTAGTTTGTTGCAAGATAGGTTTGAACGTGGGTGTTTTTCAACTCGTTTTGCAGTAATTTTTGTGGCCTGTTTCGCATCGGGATTCATGGGAAAATAATTCGTATCTTTTGTTTTATTCCTCTCAGCCTCAGGGGTCAAGCATGAGTTCTGATAATTCGAAGCTGGCCCATCAGAGGCTTTCTCTCAGCCAGGACTGAACTAGTGTCCATTTTTTGCCTCCCTAAATCACGTGAATGTTTGTGATACTCTGAAATCCCTTCCTCACTCCCCTTGTCGGTCTCACTCCTAATCTGTAATCGCCACCCATTGTTGCAAGGTTTGAAGGTGAAACTAGGTAACAGACCTTTTTAGCTTGTACGTTTTGTTTTCCCATTGCAGACCACGTGATGTTACCCAGATAATTGTTTCTTTCTAATGTCGTTCCATGCTCGTGCATCCACGTACATATGCATGCATAACTAATTAAAAGACAAAGGCAAATTCCCTTGAGAGCATCACGTGGTCTGAATTGGGAAAAACAAAACATACAAGCTAAAAAGAGGTTTATTTCAAGTTCACCGTCGCAGTCTTGCAGTGACGGCAAAGAAATGTACAAAAGAGCGTGATGCACGTCCGTCTTGTTATCGTCGCCGTCGTGTGTTCACACTATATCGGATAGCTTTTGCACCGCCACGTCAAGAACGTCGTTTAGGGACTTGTCAAAAATTAGCAGGGGGGGAGGGGGGGTGGGAATTTTAAATTTGGGTTCGGAAATGAGGTGACCCATCCCTGCAATGGGAGTGAAATTTGCTAACCCTCCCCTTGAGCTTGGCCTAAAATATCATGACCCTCCCCTTCTTGTATAAGTGATAAAATCTAGTTCTTGCAATACGCTAGGGTGAGTTAGTATTATGAAAACTCAAAATATATTTCTAATCTGTTTTTTGTAATACTATTTACATACATTTTAGATGACATCATTAAGAGCCTGACTCTGATTCTGACAGCTGATCACTCAACTCTCCTATTTCTCCCAGGCTTTTTTCCGAAGTGAAAGAAAGATCTTTCTTTTTCTTCTGTAGGTGAACCTCTACATGATCACGGGCATGTATTTGCATGACCCTTCCCCTTTTAATGGCCCATTTTTCATGGCCCCTCCCTTTTCTGGGTCTCAAAAAGTTGTGACCCTCCCTCTGTTTCCACCTCCCCTCCCCCTGCTAATTTCTGACAAGTCCCTTATGGCGGCACGACTTCTGTGACGGAGCGAAGCTGCGCCTCGCCTATCTCGAAAGCGAAGCGTCACATATCGGATAGTTCTTGTGCAATACTTTGTGCAGTGTGAACACCTATTCGACCTGTTCGCGGAAGTAAATAAGAAGGAGCGAGGACTGGAACCCACTGAAACTGAAGTAAATACTGAGGAGCGAGGACAGGAACCTTCTCGGCCAACTGCGCCGGTACTAACGCCGGTACGAATTTGCCGGCACGATGCCACTCTCGTCCCCGGAGCCTCCTGGAGTCCTGGGTAGGATTTTAGGACATCCGGTTATTTCTGATTCAAAAGTAAGTTGAAGAATTCTCTTTTAAAAGCTTTAAATCACCTTAATTTACAGTCATTGACACTTCGGCATGAGCAAGTGAACGCTATTAGAAACGTTGTTGAAAAGGACTTTAATCAAATCCTGTGTCCCAAGAGCCTCCATGTCCTTATACTCAGGCCTCCAGGAAGCTCTGGGGGACGAGAATGGCAGGATGCTCGATGTGCGTGAACGACTTTTGCTGCTCCAAGCCTCTGCTGTTCGTACTATACCGGCCGGATAGCTTTTCGCGGCGCCATAAAATCTGCTACATGATCAGCGTAAAGTATAGAGCTCTCCACTTACTCAGGTGTCCCTTGCTGCAATTTGTTTTTTGAAAAACAAATAAACTTCCGTCTCTCAAGTTTCCGAGTTTTGTTGTTGTTGTTGCCTTAATCGTACTGGTAAGCATCCTTAAAGTTCAGTGGTAAGCTCGACCAACTGCACTTGCTCGAAGGTTCACGTTGAGTCTATTTCATGTCTCTAACTGATGCTTTCAATCGCCAGTTTTAGACTTAAGTTTAATATTGAAAGCGCGGGTTTCGTTTTTCTCGCAGATGGTTGCTTCCTCGACTTTTTTTCGCTGGCTTTCTCCGTGGATTCCTGAACATCAATCACGTGTCCACCAAGCCTCCTCCAGTATTAAGGCTTAGCGATGGAGGTCACTTTGAAAATCTAGCTCTGTTGCCTTTGCTGGAGAAGAAATTAGATCGTATTGTTGTTGTTGATGGTTCCTGTAATCCAGGAGGCGAAAAGTACGCTGATGCACTTCTCCATGCCATTAAGAAAGCAAGGGAAACACTCCACTGCTCATTTACACCACTCACCAATGATGAGGGGACTGAAGGTGGTGGAACTCGAGATATTGAAGAAGATATCCGTGTCCGTTTCTTGACGAAAAAGAATGGGCGGTTACCAAGGCACTATAGGTTCAAAGTCCACTACTATGATGTAATTGATGTAAATGGCGTCTCAGTTGACATATTCTCTGGAAAAACAGGCGAGATACTCTTCTTAGCACCCAGGCACCCAGAAGAGTGCAAGGAGTTTGGTGAGGCCCAGAACGATAAGAATTGGGAAGTTTTTGACGTGGAGGAAAAAGAAAACCCCGACCATCCCTGGAGGAGGCCGAGGAAACTGACTAAAGACAAAGCTAATCGACTGACTTGGTGTTGCTGTCGGTGTTGCCATGGTGAACTTAAGGAGGACAATAAAGACAAAGCCAGCAAACTGGCTTGCTGTGGCTGTGAGTGTGATCGTAAATGCTGTAGTTGTTTCTGTTTCTGTTTTCCTGGTAACATCTGTGATCATATCTCTTCATTTTTTCTGCGGGGAGGTTTCCCTCATCACACCACCGGAAATCAGTTCTTCACCCCCGACATGTTTTCAGCTTACCATTGTGAGGGGCTCGCAGCTTCCATTGAAGCTGCGGGTAAAGCCAAGAAGTTTTTTTAGAACGTCCGAAGGTGATTACAAGGCCCCAACATTCCAGTCTGCAGATGAAAGCCAAATAGAAGCATAGTGTGATCATTCCATGGTTACCGGTCGTTTGACAAGTCAGTAGTACAGTAAACGTCCGCTTATAAGAACACTCGATTTCGGAGGTCAGGTTGATTGAGTTCTTATTTATCGGGTGCTTAATGACAAATCAGCCTTAAAATGTTCTTAAATTGTTATTTAGTAATACCATCTAAAACATGTTGCTAGAGGTATATTTAGCATATTTTAGGAAAATGAAATAAATAATTATTCTGTAATTTGATTATATTAACAAATGAAGTTATCTGACAGCAAACATAAACTTACATGTTTTGTAATTATGACACTTTTTCCATTTTATGAGAACATGTTACAATTTTCAGGCTGATCTTGTTATTATAAAAATGGGGCTTTATTGACCAAATTTCAGCCTGGTGCTCTTAATCCATTTGTTTACTGTACTTATTAGGGCTACTGGTAATTATGTTGTCAAGGTAACCTTCGAGAAAGCAGAGTGTATTTGCAGTGAAGCTTTAGTTTATATTCTGCTTCATTCTCTCTTGCTTTTTGATACTGCAACTAGGAAAGTCTTTATAAGGTGAAGTAAGCATTCGTATATTTTTTATATTTGTATGTACGTTTACTGGTGTAATTTACTGAAGACTAGATGCGACAGCAGAATGGGTGAGGTGCTATTAAGGTTTCAAGAAAAACAGCGAAAGTAGGTCGGCCTTTCTGTGTCGTTTAAGTTAGCTTTTAGTGTCATTTATAATCAGTAAAGAAACAGCACTGACTCATAGCAGTATTTGTCGACCGCCGGATTAGCCTGCGTCGCAGACGTGATTAACCTCGGTTAGTAACGTCTGCGTAGCAGCGCCGAGTTCTTTTGTTCTGGGCCCCTAACGGACTCAACGAATTATCGCAAGTACGTTTCGAATTTCCTTACATCCTTATTGGTAATTTGACAATGGCTTTTTGAGTTAACAGGCTAATCATAGCGCGTATTCAAATCCTGGTGCACATGTGGGGGCCTAGAACATAGATTTCGGCACTTTTTCGCAGAAAACGCCGGCCAATGAAGTCTCTGAGGCTAGGATTGCTGTAGCATATGTCTTAGATGGTAAACTGTAGGATATATAGCGGCGTGTTGTCTCTGTTGTACTTGAGATACATATAACTCGATCCTCGCGATAAAAAATACATATATCTTAGCGATAAAAAATGCAGGTATATATTTTTGGGATTTTTGTATTTTTATAGATCTTTATTTTTGTGAGAAAGTAGTAATAACCTTTTAAATGGTTACATCAATTATTCCCGTTAACGAAAGCGATATTCCCTACTTGTATTTTGATGTAATAAACTTTGCTTTAAAAAAAGGGCCAATTATGATAACGACAGCCGGAACGGCGATTTCGGTTTTTAGTTAAGTGGGTACAATCATTTTGCACCCCCGTGCACTTTAGTATTGTTGTGGTTCCAAATGGGAATCCACGTTTTATACTGACCCAATATTGCAACAAATCTGCAGCAAACCTGCCCAGCTCGCCTATTTTGTCAAATCGGACTGGAGTATGGAGAGAACGCGTTGACGCATGCGTCAAATTAGCGGGTTCATCGTCGCATAAAATACGAGAAACTACATGGAAGGTTGTAAATTTCGAGCCGTCTACACCAACCCTCCCGCGAAACGAAAGTGCCTTCTTCGAGGTTCCGTGCATGGGAAAATATGTCATTTTATGAAGTGCTTGTTTGCAACAAGGACTGTAGTTAAGATAAAATGAATAAACTGATGATAAACCGCAAACTACCAGTTCTTACCTGTGATATTTAAAGGGTGGTAAGGGCTGGGGAGTCCAAACCTTCATCCTTCTTCGTCGTTCTCATGTTTATGCTACCAAATGACTTTTTTGAGCGATCATACTGTGGTGGTGATTTCAGAACTCATCGGGAGCCCATTACTCGGAGCGAGCATCTCTGATACTATGTTTCACGGACCGGTTTATTTTTTAGACACATTCAAGAGCACTTTTTCTCGTGACAATGGAAACTCCGCTCCGTCCATGAGTGCATTTTAAGTATAAGATATGAAACAACAAAACTAAACCTCATTAAAAGGCCACAAGTAAAATTCCGAGGACTGTAAGTTTTGGAGTCTGGTTTGAGGGAATTAAAAGATATTCTAAATTCGCGTCAAAATCGTTCCAAAAATAAGCCGGTTGGTGAAAACGCCGTGATGTGAGTTTACATGGAAGTTGCTCGCTCCTTGTTATGACTGTTATGGGCTCCCGCTACTCGGTCAGTAAAATGTAAAAAAAATCCAAGCCTATGTCGTAATGGCTTCACTAAGGGTTTTCTGCGAGCAAGTTCTCCTGCGTGGCAGTCGTTTCCGGGAGAAGAGACGTTCAAGGCGGATTTGTTTTGCTCCTCAGTTCCTTCTTGCGCGTCTCTTCTCCCGCTTGGCTTAAAGGAATCGGAAACGGCCGCTACGCAGGCGTGGGCCGGCGCTCTGGCTCTCTTTTTATAGCTTATTCTAAAATTTACATTCTGCCCTTTTGAATTAGTTCTCAAACCAATTTAGGCCTTCGTCACAGTTAGAAGAGAGGAAAGTCAAACACCAAACCTTGAATTTCGCTACCTCAGCTTTCGTAAGAGTCGTAGATTATGCTTTTTTGAAATTATTTTTCTTCTTTCCTTTCTATGTTTTAAAATATATTACGTCAAAAACTCTTGAATACGAATAGTTATATTATTATAAAAGTTTTGAAAGGAAGACGTACGACCTTCACCTAAGACGTGTAATATCATGATATTGAGGACAATCAGGATCATATTAGTCGATTTTTGAACGGGTTTTTAGGGGTTCATCAACAGTCCCCCAGCGCAGCAGTCCACCGTTGGCCACGTGATTATAACCGGGAAAGGGGAGGGGCTCCCTTCGGTATTTTTAGGCGGGCCTGATGTGTTCCGCTGAAACCCAGGAACCTGTTTCTTAGTTCAGGTACCCCGAAAGATAGTTAACTTTAACTCAGGATTAAGCCAAATTTCAAGAAAGGTTTTCTTGTCTAAGAGCATGCCACTCGATCTTGTAAAATACAGTCAACTCTCGCCTTGCGGACACCTTGCCACTGAACGGACACACCGATAACACGGACAGCTGCTAAATCCCAGGCAAAAGTGAATTACAGACGCTTGACTGAAATAAACTTCCGCTATTACGGACACTCGCTAACGAGGACACTGTTGTGTCTTTACTCCGAGATTCAGTGATGATAACATTGAATGTTACTTTATACTAAGCAATGCATTGCAAGGTGAATACAAAACTTGGAACAAAATTTGTAATCCTGGATTAGCGCTAATCGGCCTTTCAGGAATCGGGACCTGGTAGCCTGGTAGTGGCGGGCGTAAAAAGGGAGCCGAGTTGGGGGGAGGGGAGAAAAAGAGCAAAACGGAAAAAGGAGAGGGAGCCGCTTTCCTCTCTTCCCAATTCCCCGTGCCCTTTACACTCCTTCCTTATCCGTTTCGACGCCTTTCCACGCGGGCTATAGTTCGGTTGAATTCTGCTCAGTACCCTATACTAGACTTAACTCCCCTCTTCCCTAGCCTACTTTTATAGTCACCATTTTTGTTGATAGCAGGAGGGAAATATGATAGCCAACTATCAGCGCTTTCTTTGCTACCCTAAAGTGAGTTTCTGCAAGTTGCTGTCTGTGGTACCTAAAACTGGCAATAGACCTTTTTTAATGAAGGTTCCAGGGGAATTTGCTTACACACGTGAATAAGAAGAAATTTTGAAAGAAACATTTCTCTGGAGTATTATCACACAAGCAAAACTGAGAAAACTGTAATCTGAAAGCTTATGAGATCTCTTCCCGCTTTTACAAGCTAGACTATCGATATCTTTTTGTGTATAAATAATAAAAATTCCAACTCAAACGCTTTTTTCCAATTGGACGAGAATGTGTCACGTGCTATGTGTCGAACCTCAGGTGCTGCCTTGGGTCTTGCTAAAGGAACTTTCCCCGCACAGGGTTTTTCGTTTCCCCAGCCTCCCGACGACACAAAGAGGCCTCTGCGGAGGAGAAAGCGAGGAATGTTAAAGGAGGCTTCGATCTTGGACAAAATAGATGGGAAATTTATACCCCACCTCTCCTCTAAAATGGTGCGCTTTAGCTTTCGCGTAGTCTGCTACACAGCCGTTTTTAGTGTCGTCACGCAACGCTCCTCCCCGTCCGTGACGACTGTAAAAACGGCTGTGTAGCAGACTAGCTTTCGCGCGGCTTCATCCATTAAATTTTTTTTGGGGGGGGGGAGGGGGGCGGTTTGCTATTCCAGTTTCTTCTTTCTGTTGTCCAAGATTGGATTGGACGCGCGGAGGAACACACGAAACGTCCCCAGCGGCGAAGAGCGAGGAGAAACGGATGTTTCCGCAGGCTAGGGGCCAAAGTGTGCTACGACCTTTGGAACACGGGTTTTCCCAGACCGGTGGTCTGATATGGACTCAATACACACAATGAATGATCTCATTTTTTCCTTTGAGAAAAAACTGTCCTTGGCTTTTGTTTAACGGGCACCCTCTAAACCATAACTTGTCAGTAATAAAACGTCACAAGATCACTCTTTTGAGTCACAATTTTTCTTCAACTTCATTCCTTGAAGCCATTCATGAATTTTAAAGACCGGAAGTCCATATATGGGATGTGGCCTGATCCTATGCCGATTGTGTGTATATTGTCGACATGATGAGTCAGGACTCGCGGGAATCGCTATGAAGCTACTTCTTATATCTCCATTGTAGTGTATTGAAAACTGTATTCCCGAAGCTTGTGTTAAAAAAACAAAAAAAAACGAACAAACCGCTGTGCAAAGGGCGATCATTGTGTAATATTGGATTGATCACGTGGTTCTCTCAAGCAGAGATAGAAAACTGTGAAAGAGATATAAACACTGATAAAGCTCTCGGTTTGATTAAGCTGTACTTTGTCGAGAAGAATTTGTCTTCTTCTATGTGGATTTATAATATGGAGTAAGAAATTCTTTTGTTGACTCGAACAACGGCACTACGGTACCAAAAACAACATTTGTCGCCTGTCAAAGAAGACCGTGTGAAACACTTCCACCTTGACCGCGACTGGCGACACGACAAAATGGCCGGTTGTGAGGAAAGTTGTGGTTTCTACTTTGTTTTTGCATTGGTTACGTTTTTCGTGTGGATGGATCTGAGCTTTTTTGATGAATTAGGAGAACATGGTTCGTTCTACAATTCAACTATGGCCGAAAATATGATGTTCCCGGTGAAATCCATAAAACTCCGGATGCAGGACCACACGGATCATTATGTGAACCTCCCGTGGATGCAATTTTTCAACGACTATACGGGCCTATACAAGGTACCTGGTATAACTCCTAATCTTATCAGTGGAATCCACCTCTTTTTGGCCATTATGGCGGCGAAATGTTTTGTTTCAGGAACTCTTGGTATTCGAAGACTTGGAGCTTTGCTTTACGAGCTTCGCTGCCAGCTGGATATTTTAGACGGTGTGGTATTTCGCGCCCAACAGAACATGAAGGATAATTTTATGTCCGTCTGGGGTTCAATGGGTTATCTTGTAGATGCCTTTGCTGATATGTGTGGAGGGCTTCTTGTTGCTGGTGCGTGTACAGTTTTCCTCAATCGATATCCGCCATGGAAGCGCATTAAAACTAAACTTCACGATGAATTAGAATCTGGTGGCAGAAAAGCCTTGAGTTTCCACCATGAAGACGAGGAGAGATATGTACACGTCAACCGTCGCTCAGTTAACATCAAAATGCTGCTTGTTGTTGTACAGATTATAGCTAGGAGTGGATTTTGGGATCATTACTTGCATTCGTACGTGGATTTATTAGAGAAACCAAATCCTGAAATACCAAGGGTGAGTTTTAAATCTTACTGTTATCACAGCTGCAGCATACATTTGTACGTTAAATTTAATAAATTGTTCAGTAACAAGAAATTAATATATTGGCAAACATTCCTTGATAGCGAAGTTATTCAGTTGCGTCGATAAAATTTTTTTTTGTATCAGGAAGAAAGATTACATAGCGGTATAAAAATATATCTCCATAGTACGCATTGTTCCTTTATGTTTTATTTATGAACTATGAAATGTAAGTTTACCGTTATTTTCTCGAATGATAGACGGGGGCGATTATTTCTTTTTTCGTTTCAAAAGGGGGCAGTTATTCGAGGGAAGGCGATTATTCAAGGGAGGCGACTATTTCAAATGATGCTCACTAAAAGTCGTGCCCTAATTATTTTCTTTTATTATCCCATTTTATTATATAGACACGAGTGTTTTAGTGGAAAATATACCACTCGTGAAATTCATAAAAACTACATCCGGGACCCAACTGGTTTATTTTCCATAATCTCACACATGAGTTTATCGATGACATAATTTCGGTCATTTCCCTCTATTATTTTATCAATGTCTTTTTGTCTATATAATAAAAAGAACGTTATATGCAGCGCTCGAAATTGCGACTGATATGGTCGCCAATGTGACTAATATTTTCTCCTAGGTGACTAAAAATTCTGGTTTAGTCGCCAAAGTGGCGACCAGATTTCTCTATATTTTAGATTTAAGTCAAATGAGTAAAGTTAACACAAACATTTCATATGTGCCAAATCTCATAAACAAAGCCAGTTTACCTCCAAATTTACACCGACTTCTATCCATGGTATTTTCAAATCTGGTGGATCGCGCCATACTATGTAGGGCTTCTAATAGGTCGTGGAAAAAAGTAAAATTTCGCGGGATGTTTAGGGACAAATTCGCGGAAAAGTCGGCCAATTTCGAGAAAATTTTCGGAGCAAACTTCGCGAAACGCAATCCGTAAAAACAGCCCATTTTAATGCTTATTTTCAGGGAAAATTCGCTAGAAATCGATCGGTTTTGCACTGATCAGACCAGCATTTTAAATGTTTTTCTAACAGAGGTCATCATTTGCTCTCTCAACAACAATACGCTCCAGAAATGAACCAATGGCAAAGCCTTTAACATCATACCTAGTGCCCAGGTTTTTGCAACATAATCTACGCCTGGTAGTCTTAGGACGATGTTTGCACGTTTCAGTGACGAAGTTTCAAGATGAATTTGCTGAGATAAATTTCAAATATGTTGTACAGACAAGTATTTGATAAATTTTCTACTGAATTTCGCGGTATTTTGCGTGCTTTTGTGAATTTCGCGGATTTACCTGAATTTCACGGCTTCGTGACCGCGCGAAATACCACAAGCCCTGAGCTGCGTCATTTACATGATTCAAACTGGCGACTAAAAATTTGCATCTGGCGACTATATTTCTCTAGTTTGTCGCCAAAAGGCGACCTGAGGATTTTTTTAATTTCGAGCCCTGATATGTTGGCTTGAAGATATGAATTTTATTTTCTCGTGACAAAAACAATATTTTACTCATTTGCTCCGCTCGTTCGTAAAATATTGTTTTGCCACCCGGAAATAAAATTCATATCTTCGTGCCACCATGTAATATCCTCTCTATACAAAAAAATATTGCATCAAATGAACTGAATATGGGTTTTTAAAGTGTTCCAAATTTGGTTCCATGATTAATTTTCAGAGCTAGAATCATCACTGATCAGTGTCGCTGGATCAGAATCCACTTCAACTTGACAGTGAGGGAATAAAAGAAAGAGAAAATGGCGAGAGGGCTGAAGGGAGACAATTATTCGAGGGAGGCAATTTTTCAATATTTCCATCAAAGGGGGGGGGGGATTATTCGAGGTAGGCGATTAATTGAGGGACGGTTATTATTTGAGGAAATGCGGTATCTTACGTTTGTGCCATAATCCACTGTGTATCTTTTCTTGAAAGTATCGACCAAAATAACCATGTTACATGCAAGAACAAGTGAAATGTGAAAAATCAATTTCAAGAGATTTGTCAAGTTTCTTTCTATGGGGCTAGTGCATTTTTTTATCCATACCTCCCCCCCCAGTTGAAGACCAGCAGAAGAAAAATTGAGGATTTTTTAAGGGGTGCAGTAAAAAAGTATGGAATTCTTCGGCAGTGAAACTTTAATTTTCATAAAATTTTTTAGGGCAGACATATATTCTTCAAGAGGAAGACCCATATTTTATGGAAGTCTTCAGGGGTGAAAGCAATTCAAGGGTTTAAATAATAAATGAAGTAGCCAGCAGGTTTGAATAGAGTACCCAACGGTATCAACAAGAGGCCGTCAATCCCGTGCCCCTAGTGGAGTCTGGGGGCAAGCTCCCCCAGAAATGTTTGAAATTTCAGAGCCCTAAAATGTGATTTACAGCATTCTGGGGACTAAATTGAGTACAGAAGTGTGTTTTTCATTAAAGAAAATGTGGCTTTCATTCAGGTTCCGATTTATCAGCCACGCAACTTGCAAACAATGGACAAACGTACATTTGAACAAGAGCAAATTCTGTGTAAACTTCCATAGAAAGGTGTGAAGAATTGACTGAAATACAGCGTTTGCGTAACTAAAGCATAAATCAAAACCAGTTGGCCTTTACATTTTCATTCAGATTTTGTGATATGTTTTTGTTTACGACATTGTAACTAAAGCACTAGTTGCCTCTTCTTTCGGGGAGAAAAGTAGCCCACTTCGCTGAGGGAAATAACTGATGCGTTTCGTCGGTTGTTGGTGCTTTATATTGAAATCCCTGGCAATTATATTTAATCTTCATGGGTAGGGAGAAAGGGTAAGTCCTTCATGGGGGGCTGGGCGGGTGGGGGGGGTACAGATATTAAAATAAATGCAATAGCCTATTGTTTGGGTCCAACTCAACCTTAATAAGCCTTTGTCATCTTTGAAGTTAGACAAAAATGTTTTATATAACTCTTTTGAACTTAATTAAACTCGATTCATGGCTTTAGTTTGGTCAAGTTCAGCAATCCAACATAATCAAACTCAAAAAAATTGCTCAGTCGAACACAATCAAACATTAGGATTTTCTCTTTCTTGAAAGAGAGACAAGATCGTGGTGGAGACTGGGGAAATTAGTTTTCCTGATCATTTGCTGGTTCTCTGCGATTTTAACCTTTGGAATGGTTTTAGTCTTCATTTACTATGTCTACTTCATTAACTACTTATTCTTTCGATGATGACAATAATTTCTTCTGAGATGGTATCCAGTATGTTGATCTTTTACACCGTTTGCTTTCTTCATTATTGTTAACTGCACTTCAGTTAGAGAAAATATTCTAAAAAATCATGTTAATTTTTACCTTAACAGAATTGAGTCTGGGTATTCTTTTATATTAACCTTGTTAAAATCCTATTTTAGGGCTACGTGTATGTGTTGAAGAATTTTTGACCAGATTACTCAGAGAACATCCTAAGCCGAGTTGTTGAAAGCTGGGTTAAGATAACCCATGCCAGGGATAGTGTGAAATTTTAATTCTGATTTGAAAGCTTAAAAAGCAAATTCAGTTTAGTACTTTTTGTCTGCAACGTGATGATTCGATGATCTTAACCCATTCGCCCCTGAACCGCCCGTAACCGCCCGTGCGGATCCAGGTCCTTTCTACCCTTTGTGACGTCATCAGTTTTAACGGTCAAGGACAACTTTCTTTGCTAACTTGTGTAGAGTGAAGAGATCTTTCAAACCATACCAGAATGAGCACAATTCAGTCAAGGACACCGGAGAAAGAAGCAAAAAACCACGTGACATTGACCTGAAAATCTCCATGAAAATCTTGTTCCATTGCCCACCCACCTTTCCTTTCACCTAATCCTAAGATCCTAAAAGCTTTCCTAAAAAAAGTAAAAGTCAAGACTGCTGTGTCACTTTTAAACCCAAAAACTGTCTCGAAATTTTGCTTTCTGCGCATGCCTGAACTTCGCAAGCTGATGTTTTGCATCTGGATCAGAAGGCCGCCAAGTGTACGACCTGTAAACCGGTTTGTGGTAAGTTTTAGCCCTTTATAGCACGACAGTGACGAGAAAACCACTCGACTAGCTTCAAAACGCGTTTTTCGGCAAAATCTCCAGGAGCGAATGGGTTAATAGAATAGAGAAAATTATCTACGAAAATGCTTTTGAGCAAAAGAAAAAGATACCAGGATTAAAATTTAACCTCAATTTAGGACTAATCGGCCTTCAAACAACAGCAATCTCAAGGTCATGAAAGATATTAATCGCCATGGGTAATGTGTATAAAGGGTTTAGTTTTATCGTTTGTCTCATGTTTGTCACTTTGATATTGATTGTGATGTTTCAATCGCACACTCAAAGTCAGACACCTTGATTGAATATTGTTTATCTTAATAACCTACTTACATAAGAACCTGCTTGCTCTTGCTTGGCTAAACAGATTCTTGTCTTTTTGGGTATTAGAGTGGCAAATGTTTGCCATAAGTTCTTTTATGCAGGTGTTTACTATAGTTGCTCTTGTAATTACTGTGTATTGAAGTGATTTTGTTACAAATAGTTATGGTGAGTCCTTGGACTCATCTTGTGAAAAATTGTTAGTCCCTGTCCCTAACCAATGAGTCTCAGTTCAAAAAAACAAGCAGTCCAAAACTGAAAATGCTTGGGTCTTTGTGTAACCAGACAGTTAATGTGGAGACTCTACTACAGTTCAGTGAAAGTAAAATTTAGTCCTTCTATATATTTAAAGCACAAAAAAGACTAAACTAAATATGCATCTTTAAATAACAGTCACAGAAATCACATGAACAGGATATTCTACCAAAAAATCATTTTTTGTGTCCTAAGGGATGCATTTCATGAATTATTTTGTGTCTTTGGGGATTTTTAAGCATCAGGGACTCAGGGCACAGTGGTAACAAAATCATTGGCATTGGAAGTACAGGTCCTACAGGGTCCAAAATTAACTTTTTAATCTGGGCGCCAACTGGCGAACAAGTGTAAATTTTTGGTCACCAGAGGGCAAATTGTGGTCGCCAAAAATTCCCCCTCCCTTTTTTGCAAATAAAAGTTTAAACACAAATTAAAAAGTGTTTGGTATGGACATTTTTATGCTCAAAAATTGCACTACTTCCGTTCCAAATACCAGAAAACAACTGTACGTGTACAAGTGAAGTCTTATTTATTTATTTTTTTCACAAATTACCTTTTGGAGATATAAAGCTATCTGACCTGGAATGTAGGAACAGAAAGCTATCTGCCTATGACTGCACTTATCTTATCAAAACTCTATTTTCTTCGGATAACTACCACGAAACATGGAACATAAACGCAAGTCACGAGTCAAGCTGCCATGTTGCCCGTACCAGTGTCACAACTTGCCACATTACTCGTAGCATATGGGTACAGTATAATTCCACATACATAACATACTTCGCGTAGTTCAACCGGAAACAACATGGTGGCTTGGAAATGTTCAACTCTTATTGATCGTAGCTGTTGTGCAGGTATATTTACAGGAAGATTTGTTTCACTTTTAATTAAAAAATATAGCAGGACAAAAAGTAAGACACCTGTTGGCAAATAGCTTTGAGGTTTCAATTCTTAATCATTTTCTCTGAGCATGAAAGTCTGCAATAACAACCAGCCCTATAAGTTACCAGCTGGTGTCCAGCTATGAAATTCTGGTCGCCAGAACTGAATTTTTAGTCGCAGTGGCGACCAGGAAGGCACAATTTTGGACCCTGTCCTCATGGCTGACTCAGTATGAACAATCCTCTTTCCTCTTTTTCCACATTTTTAAACCTACAGAATAAAAGTTTTCTCTAGTTTCATATCAGTCATACTGGTTATTCTTAGTTCCCAATAAAAACAAACCATGATTAATATGATTAATATTGCACACATATTACCAACTGCTTTAAATCACGATTTTGTGAAAAAAAAAAAAGATTTCTTTGCGATCGTAATCAGTGAGTTATGCCAGATACATGCTGAGTCAAAAACTTTGGTTCTTCTCACTATAATTTAAGTTGGACCAGTATTCTACAATTTCTTTTAAAAAGGGTCTTTTATTTTCAGTTGTAATGCATCTTTTTGTTTTAAATTGTGCACACTAGAACAATAATATCCCGCAGTATCTCTCTGAGTAGTAATAAAAAAAAAAGCCTTCCAGTTGTCTTTGTCCTCTGTGTTTAGGTAGATTTGAACCCATTTCATTTTCAATGATGCATTAAAACTTTGTATATCAATCATCTTTAGTCTGCTCTTATCGTAGTAATTAGATTTCTGTTCGTTTAATTTTGTTGCCTTTGCTATCCCACAGCAATTTTTTGGTGTGATGGTAGGGATGACAACAGCTAGACTATTTGAAACACGGCTATTTAGAGGCAATTTTGTAATCGCAATTAAGAAGAGTAATTGGCAACCAATTTTTTAAGAGGTTTTTGTTGCTTTATTCTTTTTTGGTATCAGAGTGATCAATCCTCTTCTCTGGGTGACTGATAGGAGGCCATTCCTATACGCATAGTTTAAAGCATTCAAAAGGTAGTGGTGAATTTCCTTCCAGAACAGTTTAAAAAACTCCGCTTGTAATCCATCACTTCCTGTTCTTTTATTTGAGTGCATTGATTTTAGACTTTCCCAGCATTCAGTTTCTGTTAAGGGCCCTCTGCATTCCTTTTGTTCCAGTTCACTGAGTATAAGACTTAGTGTATTTTCCTCCTGGAAGAATAGGTCGTCATAAAGATCATTCTCTGGTGTGACAGTTGAAGTATAAAGTTGTTGGTAAAAACATTTTGACCCCCTTAAGATTTCGTCATCTCTTTTAATGACTCTATTATCTGACAGCAGTAAACTTTTGATATTTTTTTTATTAAAGTGTTGTTTTTCAAGATTTAGGAAATATTTGTGTATTTTTTCCCCATTGTTGTACGAACGAGCTTTCGATCGTATAGTCGGGCCCTTCGTTTTGTGTTTAGAGATTTCTTCCCTTTGTAGTTTTCTAGGGGCCAGCTCATCCAGTATTTGATTCTTTTCTGTTTCCATTAAATTGTTCTCATCTAGTCTTTTTTCAAGGGATGCAATGTCATTTTCTAAACAATTTTTGTGGGATTTCATTTTAGTGATCCTTTTTTTTGTGTATTACAGTGAGCTTGATCAAACTGTCATTTTCATAGTATCCCATCGCTAAAGGAGAGTGGCGTCCACCTCATAATATTGTTTTTGTATTCATTTGCTACTTCCTTAATAATGTTATTGGCTGCTTAATTAAATCTATATACTCTCCATTTGGCAATGCAAGAAAGAGGTATTCAACTTCCAAAAACCTGGTCCCCAAAGGTTTGTGTTATTTGTTAAGTATTATGTTATGAGTGAATGGTCGGTTCCAAAGCCTGGCAAAATGTCTGCCCTTGAAGTTGTTGATATTAAACTAGAACTAATTAAGAAAAAGTCTAGACGACATTGTTTCTCCAGATTTCCTTTTCTCCAAGTAAAAGGTTTTGTATCCACATTTAGAAGATGCCAAATGTCTGTTAGGTCTAAGGAGTCAACGATATACTTACCTTTTTACAAGGATTTTTTATGTGTTACGGGGTTCCCAACTGTTTTGTCTTTTTTTACATCTAAAACTAGATTAAAATCACCACCCAAAATTATTTCTTCGCATTCGAAAGTAAAAAGGCATTTTAAAACGTTTTCAAAGAAGAAGAGGTTGTCATTATTTGGCGTGCACATATTTGCTAATGTCAACTTCTTACTCTCGGTTTTTATGTGTACAATTATGAATCTACCTTTTGGGTCTGAGTTAGTTTTAAGGATGTGGAAGGAAAACGTATTGTTTAAGAGTATGCTCACTCTGGCACTAGCACTGGAGAGGCTACTAAAGATAGCTGAATACCCCCATTCTGAAGTCCAGCATTCTTCTTTGTCCTTCGAGCAATGGACCTCTCATAGAAAGAATATTGCGTATTTTTTAGTTTTCAGCCATCAAAATATTTCACACCTTTTCACGGTGTTAGATAGTCCCTTCACATTTAACGAAATTCCTGACTTTGGTTGTTCATTGTCATTTAAATGTCATGCTTTTTGACTTTTGTGATTGTAATAACAAGTCAGACGAACATTGCAAGATAGCAATTCTGACATCATTTTTGTGAGCTGTGCTAAAAGACAGGTTTTTGTGTGAATGGTGGGAACTATTAAGCATTTTCAGCTCACACTAACTGTGTTATTTTGGTAGATCTGATAGTAACCTACTGTTCCTCCAGTGTAGAAAATTAATACAATCCATATAACATTGTGATTGCTGAATTTCCTGTCCCAGACAGGAAGAAGCAAATTTATTTATAATAACAAGAGATGGCTTGGACAAGGATGGACTGTTGTTATCATCTTGTCTTTGAGCAGGCTTGACTGTGAATTTTGTCAGAGTGGTGTAACTGAAATTTATTTTGGTTTCAACAGGATTTACAAGCTGAGGTCCTGAGTTACCGTAGCACATGGGCAGTTATGTGGCTGTGGAAAGTATCTAGTGCTGATGCCGTTTTACAGTTCACCATGTTGGCAATCCTCTTTGACAAGTTATGGGTGAGTGAATAATTTAAATTGTAGCTATTGTTGATGTATTTAGTATTAGTACAGCTGTAGCATGGGAACTGCTTTTTATTGTTTTATTGTTTTCTAAAATTCATGTAGTATTCTTTTAAGTTATGACAAATCAGTAGGTAGTATTTGAGTCGCGTGTACACTTCTTTATACCCCAGTAAAATATACACCTTCACTGGGTTGATGAATTATTGAACAGTATACAGTCAACTCTCTCATAGCTTGCCTGCGTAGCAGGCGCTTGTAAGTAATGGGCGCAATAAAGAACAGGCGTATGAGGGAGACACTCTCTGAGATTACAAAATCACTACTGTACAGACACCAAAGATAGCAGAGGACTTGGAAAATGGCCATTGCTTTTACTGTTTTTGGAGCAGACTTGTTTTGCTAAATGGAGCTAAACTTCAGAACACAAACTCTACCAAGACATTTTTATACGGCAGACTTCAGGTCGCCTTCAAGCAAATAATAACAATAGCAAAAGATTTTTCAAATTCATGCCCCTTCCGTGGAAAGTGTTTCATTTCATCAATCTTGTCCAAGTCTTGATGGTACGCGTTCCATCCACAATGCAAGCGGCCAAGTTCTTTCAGTAAAGAATCTTTCCTCTAATCTTCATTTCAATGATTCGACAAACTTTTTGTCTGTCGCTGCTTCTGCCACGTAGTCCCATTGAAGTGACTTTTGATTATACCATTGAGTAGTGTGATAAAAGGCCTTCACTGCCTTGTCTGTCCATGTACTACTATGTGTACAAACGATCTCATGTTTTCTTTGATTGACAGTTTTCTCACCTAACACAAACACTTATCCCCTCAGGAGCCTCTTGACTAATAACAATCTTCTGCACTCTCAGAAAGCGAGTAGAAACGATTTTCATGGGCCTCCTTGGGCAGACGCCTCCTCTCCCCTTGCATGTCTCTCTCACACGCCCTGTTCTTTCCTGCGCCCATAACTTCCAAGTGCCTGCCATGCAGGCTATCTCATAGCGACCACTTCTCATAATCTACCACCTCCTGTAAGCAACCACTTTACAAATAACTGTTTTTCTCTCAGTCAAACACTGTTTCAAAAACTCTCTCGTAAGTGACCACTACGTTATGTTTTCTGTTTCCAATAAGCAACTACCTGGCACAATCACATATGATTGTAAGACAGCCACTGCTTCAACATCACAAAAGTTCATTTTTTGAATAGTGCAAAGGATTAATTTGACAGATCGACTTACAAAAAAGATGTCTGTAATATGACCTGTAGGTAAAAAAGTGGATTGTTACATTCATGCAAAATGTTATCTACAAGGTTTGTCAGTTCCAAGGGCTATTCATTTACCAGCTGTCCATTTGCCTTATTTAGCTTGTAAAGTGATAACTTTATATGATTACGTCAATCAGTTGAGTTTGGGCAAAGGGGGGAATTTCACATATCCCATGATGCATCGCTTCATACTATATTATCAAGCTTCCGAATGCACGTGATGCTATCAGTTCAACAGGGACGTGACACTTGAACATCAGTGGAAAGCGACTTGTTTTTCCGATGAAACTTGGTTGTTCCTAAATCATATGAAACTTTCTGTACCTTTGCTGTATGGATCTATTTACGACTTTCGGTTTACTATTCGAAATATATCTCTTGATAAGTCAAAGAGAGTGTTTTGGCCGCCGTTTATTAGTTAACTAGCCTTACGATAGCAATGCGGTCCACACAAATGTTCTCAGAGGCTAGCGGGGAAGGTCTGTGCTTCAATGTGTCCTGTTTTAACGTGCGCGTGCGATTTCCACATTCTTGTCTTGAAATAAATGCATATTCTAGGTGTGAGAGTTCGCTTCGTTGCTTGTTGGCGATCACGGTGTTCATATTCTCAGTTCAATAATTCATCGATGCAGTACATCAACCGTACGGTGACCGCACATGCTTTTACTTCAACAGGCTCGGCTTATGTAGTCGAAAATCCCGAGACCGTTAAAGTGCAAAGTGACGTCTATCAGAGATAAAATTCAAGGAGGGGAATAGCTCCAACAAACAATAAAAATAACAAAGACATCTCTACATTTTTCGTAACACAACACAAGCTAAGCATCATTGTCAAACATAAACAGGAAAAAGCTTTATTAAGAAATGGCAAAATACATCTACAAAAACACCCACTTTTTCACTACAATGGATCCCAAAAAAATTATCAAAATGTCTTAAAAGGTTTTATACGCCGGTTGAGGTCCTACATCAGGGTTTTAGCTAGGATTTGATCACTGGGGGACAATTTGTCCCCTTGGCTAAAATTTTGGGGGACATTTTCATTTTTAGGGGGACAGAAATTTGTACACCCTTCTGCTGATGCAAAGGGGTTTGTCTTCTTAGCAGGGCTTCTGATAGGTCTCGGAAGAAAAAGTCAAATTTCACGGGATTTTTAGGGACAAATTCGCGGAAAAATCGGCCGATTTCGCGGGAGTTTCGGGGCAAACTTCACCGAAAAGCAATTGGTAGAAAAAGGTCGATTTTGTGGTTATTTTTAAGGCAAATTTCACTAGAAATCGATTGGTTTTGCGCTGATCACACCAGCCTTTTTAACGTTTTTCTAACAGAGGTCATCATTTGCTCTTTCAACGACAATACGCTCCAGAAATGAACCAATGGCAAAGCCTTTAACATCATGGCTAGTGCCCAGTTTTTCGCAACATAATCTGTTTGCACGTTTCAGTGACGAAGTTCCAAGATAAATTTGCAAGTTTACGGCAAGTAAATAGCCCCTATAGCTGAAATAAGTTTCAAATATGTTGTACAGACATGTATTTGATAAGATTTCTACCGAATTTCGCGGTATTTTTCGTGTTTTTGTGAAATTAGAAGCCCTGTCTTAGATTGTGTAGTTCCAGAAAATATCCAGACCCCCACCACGGAGGGAATCTCACTTAGGACCCCCCACCCTCCTGGATTTTCCATTTTTGCAGGGAACGGATGGCCCCCCACCCCTCCAGAATTTACACAAGTGTGACAAAGACCCCCCAACCCCTCTGGAAAAGTTCATTTTTACAAAGAAAGACTATTAAAGTAAAAGAATGAGGCATTTTATTGTTAGTATGTAACGGTTTCCATCAGAAGCTTGTATGCGTCTGTTTCCATTTATTTGAGTGATCTCGCAACATTGAAACTCACTACACCACCACAAAGTAACCTAATCTGCAGTTTTTGCTCAACCCTAACTTTAAATGAAATAGATAAAGTTACAAGTCGGTTGTATTTATGAATTTACCTTAATCAGGGCAAGGTTATGATTTGTTATTTGTCTTCAAGGGCGTAAGGTAGGCGTAATGTTGGTAGAATTAACGAGTTGTCCGGGAATGCTATATGGCGAACAAGTCAAACTTTCAACCCCAAAATTAAGGCAAAACAAAGAGAAGAATAAAAACTCTGACTTCTGAATTCATAACAATGAATACCCCCCGCATCTTGAAGGGAAACCAAGTTCAATTTACTGTTTTCCGATCGACTGATGCGACGTGTGTTATGCGCCATGGCCGTAATGTTTGGTGAAATCAACACCATTTCAGCGAGCGAGAATTCGATCATGAACATGCCACATCTTCAACCACAAAATTAAGGGAAAATGAAAAGGAGAATAAAAACTCTACATTCTAAAGTGGTTACAATGTATAGTTTGTACTTCGTGAAGTAAAATTGCCACTCTACGGTTCTTCCATCGATCGACTGACGCAACGTGATGTGTTGCACGCGTTGATGTCTTAAGGGAGACTGGTAACGAATAATGGCGGCCGAATATACGAGCATGCGATAAAATGAGTTGTAGTTGGTCAAATTCCTTTGAAATTACATCCAAAACGCTTTTGGAAGAAAGGAAACCTGGTTAAGATCAAAAAGAACAATCTTAAATGATAAATTTCAAGTTATTTATGTTCTAGAAATGATCTAACAGTTCGGTAAGAAGCAATGTTCGAACTCAAGTCGAAAATGAAATGATATTTACCCCCGGAAAGTGATTTTATTTTCCAACCCCCCTCCGCTCTGGAATTTCCTGGGTCTCTGACCCCCCCCCCCCCTGGAATTTCCAATTCTGGATATTTTCTGGAACCACACATTTCCGACAAAAATAGCAGTAGAGCGTGACTGAAACGTAACTTTGGAATGAACTTTAAAGGTGTGATAAAATATACTTTCCACGATCTGTTTCAGCTTGCAATTTCTGTACTGAAATAAATCTCTTCGTGTGTGCTTCCTTTCGAGTTTTTTCCCTAAATTTTGAAGGGGACAAATTGTCCCCTTGGCCGTTTTTTAAAGGGACAATTCCAATTGCAGTGCGGGATTGGCGCAATGGCGTGGCCTGGCTCAAACCCTGCTACAGTGTGCTATTCCATGACATTTGCTGGCCTATGTATTTCAAGTTCACCACACGCGGTTGCGACCGGAAGCCACCATGAGAAACCAATTTTACCTAAAATAATGGGACAAAAAAGCTTTAATAACTATAAACCATTGAATTTAAACATTCATCATACCCTCAAGAGATAATATTTGTGTTTTGATAGCGAAAAAAGAGCAAATTCAAGAAAAAATGTCCCATCTTCGCAGGACTTAGCATAAAGAACCTGAAACCTTCGTTTTGCATCTTAGTGGAGAAAAGGCAGAAAATGTGATATTTCAAAACGATCAAACCCATAAAAATCGCCAGGTCGAAAGAGGTCGGAGCGTGGAACTAGTATCAAGCCCCCCTTATCCGCCGATTTAATTAATTTGTTAGGGCAAAACCTTGCTAGAATAAAGACAGTTTTCGATAATTGAAAGTCATCTAAGTAAATATTCACTTGTGAGCATGGCTTAACAGGATCATAAACGAGAGCAATAATGCGTGAAATGACCATGGAAACATTTTACATCATTAATCAGATACCAAAGATTAACAGGGCTCATTGAAACTTACTTTGGATGAGCTGCATCTTGAAATTCAGGTCGTTGAAACTCTCCCTCGAAACCCTCGAGCGCTCTTTCCACCACAGAGAGAAGACAGAAATTTGCCATGAAGCATCATGGGATATATGAAATTCCCCCCTTTAGTTTGAGCTTTTGTTTCTTGATTTTCCCATAAACGACCACCTCCCGTAAGCAACCACTTTGTCGTGTAGCAAGGGTGGCCACATTACGAGAGAGTTGACTGTATGAATACAAGACAAACAGCTGCTTAGCTAACAAGTATCAGTAATGTTAACTGATAAAGATCTTTACTTATAAACTATTCAGTGTCCAATCTGTATGGGCCTTACATTGGCTCAGCTTTGGCTTGCTGTTGCAAACTTCAAAACACACGTGTCACATGTATTTTATTGGATTGCCTTATTTTTTTCTGAATCTTTCAGGTCTGGGTGCAGATGTTGAACTACTTTGGCCCTTTAGAATTAGCATTTGTTATTGTGTTTTCTCAACTGCATTTAATGGAGGTAGGTTGACTTGTAGTACTATGCCAGGTCAAGTATCCCCCCCCCTAAGATTCTATTAGTGAATTTATTCCTGTATTTGATTTAATGTATTCAAAGCAATTTTGTCCATTGAGAAATTTATTAATCTCACCAAATACAGAGAAGTTATAAAAAAATTCACCACTCATTATTCATGCAAGAATGCAGATTTTGTATTTGATACTGGTTGCAGCAATGACTAATGGAGTAGGTTATCATTTTTTTAATGGAATCTATGGGGTTGCACTTGATCTGTCATGACTGTAATAATAATATATGTAATAATGGTAAAATATGAAATCAGGGATGGAAACATAATTCTTAGAGGACTCACACTATGGGTGAGCGATGTTTAGATTGCACTCAAAAGGATACATTAAATATTCCTGCCCCCAGTTAAACCAAACAGGCCATTTTGCAGCTGTGTTCTTAGTGCTCTGGCCTCTTAAGGTGATTTCTTAGTAGAAGAACCTAACATAGATTGTAGATGAAACCTGGTGCACTCATGTAACAAGTCAAGTAGATGACAAAAAAGTAATAAAAAGTTGGTATCACGGTGCTCATTTTGACATCTCCATGCTTTCAAATATTACAAATATTACGGCTACCCTTTGGCAAAAACCGGGCACAGCCCAAAACTAGACAAAAACGAGAGATTTTTTTGATGATGCGTGTGGTAACGCACAGAATTTGATTTAAATGTATTGTTTGTCCACTTAAATACCAGAAAAAATGCCTTTTTTGCCCTTTTTTTTTTACTCTACACTCCAAAGTAGACTTAATTTGGACACGTGCTATTCAACCCTCTATAGCTCAATCTGTACAATTTAGTAAAATTGCCAAAGAAGTGAACATAGTTTATGCCAATTATTTTTCCATTGAAAGGAAACACTGTTCTTATTAAAATCATGAAATAAAAATGGGGGTCAAGTGGCAAGTTTCAAAATGGCATGTATCTGGAAGGGGGAAGAAAGCATTAAAAAAATCCATTTTTTCAGAGTTTACATTGAGATATCACAGTCAGGACGCGATGTGATAAAGATGGCTCTTAAGTGAAAATCAAAGTGAGATAGCAGAAGTTAAATGTTTATTATTGAGGTTCTCTGTGGGAAAGTCGAACTCAGCAACAATCGTACTGCTTACATCATGCACATTGCCAACACTTTGAGTCTCATCTAGGCAAGAAACAACCGCAACCGAAAATTCTAAAAGCGTTTCTCTTCAGTCAACTTCATTTTAATGATGTTACTTTTGGTGCTCTTCAATGCCAGCTTGTTATGCGCAGTAGGAGATCTGCAGTGCAAAACCAGCGAATCCCCTTAGAAGAAGTGAGGGTGACTTTGTTTCATCACAAACCTTCTTGTTTTTCACATTAATTTTAAGTAATAATATCTAAGGGCTTGTTAGCATAAAAGTAATAAAATTTGTGCATGAAAAGTAGGAAGGTTGACCAGTAACATGACAAGGGTACATATTCTTTGTAAAATGGTCTATTGAATGAAGTACAGGAAACAGCTGTGGGGTTGTTGTTGACCATAAAGTGAAATCTGCCATAGGATTTTTACTGATAAAATTAATAGCTTTCAGTGATTTTAATATCCCATGTTCCACATCCTGGACACATAAAAATGTCTTAAGATGCAAAAAAGCACATATTCGGTTGGACACAAAGATCAAATTTGAGCAAAGAAGATTAAGATTGTTGTGAAGAGAATCCTTTTTTTGACTTTCCTTAAAATCTGTAAAAAATACCTTAATCAAGGGTGCAATATCATTTGCAATCAAAAGGATATCCAAAGGCAATTTTTGAATAAACAAAGCACTACCATACAAAACAATCCAACAAAATCATTGGGTTTTGCAAGTTTTCATCGTATGAGTCCGAGCAGCCTGTTCCAGGCTCTCAGATAGTGGGGAAAACGCAAAAGAAAAAGGCACGCGAAAAGTTGGTGTTTTACTTTCGTGTTTAGGCTTTCTCAATTCAGTGGACTGGACTATCTCGGAGCCTGGAACAGGCTAGAGTCCCAGGAGTCGCCATATAGCAATTTGTAACAAATCGCTGAGATTTTTTGAGGTTTTAAGACAGTCGAACTTTTAATGTTTGTATCCTTTGACAAGGTTTCTAACAGTTGTGACGAATTTGGGATGGATGGCAGAAAATAAAATTCTTCCACTACACATTTTATGGCTCTAAGCTGGATTCAAAATGACTCCCTGCAGGATTGATTTGGAAGTAAAAGCTCTTGGTTGTTTACTTGTATTGTGCAAAACGAGCTTCAGACACTTGGCTGTGGTAGAGGAGGGGCTGTCTGTATATAGCCTATGAAAGAGGTTTTTATATGAAGTTATTTTTTGTTTCTCTTCAGGTGAGAGCCTACCTGCTTGGTACATAGAGTCCTAGAGAAAAGCTTAAAGGGAGTCTTCTATTTTTTTGTTTGGAATTGATGTATTCATCAATGTGTTGCAGCTTATTTGTCAATAATGTGAAGTGATATCACAGTTTTTATGTGCTTTATTTTGTTATTAGTTGTAGCCTTTTTAATTTTGATGTGAATAATTTTCCTTAAGCAAACTGTTAGTCTTATCAATCTTAATTACACTGTCAAATTTACTTGACCTAATTCAGGAATGTAATGTATGAATTGCTTTAATTTATTAATTAAACTAGAAAATAGAACAAAGGGAAGTATATTAAGGCAAATAATATATTTTTTAGTTTAACATGTGAGAGGAGAGGTAAAATGAGATCCAGAGATAAGTAATTATTTTATTTTAAGTAGTACTCTGTTTAAAAAATAAAAAATTAATAGAGTTTTGACTGTATTTGAGGTAGGTATCAGAAACAGGCTAGAGTTTCCCTCATCCTTAAAAAATGGTTGATCTAAAAAGTAAGGAGGGTTATTTGCCAAAATATCAGCATTTGACACAAAACCATTTTAACTTCTGAAGTTCATCATCTATTATACCAAAAATATTGTCAGTCCTGCCAGTATCTTAACCGTGACTGTTACTTTTACCTTGTGCTTGGTCTTGATAAGTCTTTTCTTGACTTATCTAGAAAGATCAGAGACCCTGTGGTCGCAGAGTAAGCCTTTAACAACAAAGCTAAGGGATCATTTCAGTTATTCGTTAGTTTGTCTTCTGTGAAGAATTTCATCATCACCTCTAACAAGTGGATGTCATTATAGATCAGTCAATTCCAGCTGCGCCCAACCCCCCTCCCCCCTCCCCCCGGCCACTCTGGAGCATTTGCCCACCTTGTCAGTCCTGGGGGTGGGACATTTGCAAATTTTGCGTGCTGCCCAGGGGCCGGGCATTGGCCAACCCCAAACTTTTGACACACACTGTTTCCTATCAGCATATAACTACACAGTGGATTTTAATGAAAAAACAAGCAGATTGGCTCATCTGTCAAGGACAGAAAAAAATTGAAGAGGGTTGGAAATGTATGTTCTCGATTTTATGCATGCATTTCTTCATTGCTTATCAAGCCAGAATTACATAGCGAAATGGGGATCTGTTGACAAGAATCAACGTTTTTTTGGTTATTGAATCCAATTTCTGTTCATATTATTTGAAGAACATCCTTTCGTATTTATAAAACTATTCCAAACAGTCAACTTTACAGTGAAATATTAATTCTAAAGTCAATAATTTATAACAAATACTAAAACCATAAACTGGTGTGGTCACTGCGTGAAGTCTTATTTGGAATAGCACTATAAATTACAATTAAGGAAGACGTTAATAATTGAAAGAAAAAATCGAACGTTAAAATGTTTAAAATGGCACTACTTGACTGTGCAATCAATGAAAAATGTTGCAGTGTTGACAGAGGACGGGGTATTTGCCCTCTTTTTTTGTCCCCACCCTGGGGGATTTGTCAGCTCAAGAGTCCCCATCCCCGGGAATTTGCCATCCAAGGCAAAAAAATGCTAATGCTGGGCGCAGCTGGAATTGACTGATGCATTACTTGTGAGTCCTAGTGAGTTATTAATTTTTAGTCTATTTATTTGTATTGTATTTACGACTATTAAACAGTCACTATTATCTCAACAAAAACTATTCCACTTTTGTGTCAAGGGCTGTTGTAGAACACTTTAGTATCAGTTCTCTTTTCCAGAGATTTTCCCCCGCTGGAAGTGTGTTTTGTTGTTTTGTTTTAATTTGCATCATTCAAGAGCTGCACCTTTTAACAAAACAAGCTCCGAAATGAAAAGGTTGGCTAACACTGAGTAATTTGCCCCTATGCTATGGACAATCATTTTACTGAAGCCCTAAGAACATTTGTGAGGAGGATATAATAATAATGGAAATGGTCAAAATGATTGTATTGAACAACAATCAGTGAGCCATTTCCAAAGGGAACTGAGTATTATTTATCATTGCAATTATGATTTTTCTACTGCCTTGTATTAATAGTTTGTTGGTCTTACGATGGCAGTACACTTATTACTGCCTTGTTTATTGTCAGACTATTTACGTGTAATATTATAAATGATTACTGTAAAAAGAGCAAATCATGATGAAATGTATGATATTCAGAAAAATAAAACTTCACAAAAAGTCTTCTTCATGAGTTGTTTTTAGTTGACTGTAAGGAACATTCTGCTTGTTACTACCACATCTTTATTGTCAAACGCTCTGAATATACCTGTTAGAATGCTGAAACTATTACTGGGATCATCATCATCTCCAGTCTCATGGACAATGGCCATAACAATTTAGCTTTTTGGCCCAGATTCCTGAAAAGCCGATTAGTGTTAATCCAGGATTAAAAATTTTGTTCCATTTCTGTATTTACCTTCCTATGCATTGCAAACATTCTATGTCTAGGTTATGATAGAGTCTCATAGTAAAGACAAAAGTATTTTGTAAGCTCAAGTGACATGATCTTAGACAAGAAAACTTTGCTTAAAATTTGGCTTAATCCAGTGTTAAACTTAACCATCTTTTGAAGAACCAGGCCCTGCTCTTTAGCTAGACCCATTATATTACTATCATTCTATCCAGCTAGCGTTTTGTGGCTATGACTGTTGTCAATTCTGCCCAGTTTCTAAACAATCCTTTTTTTTTATTTCTTTACTTGATCACACCACGTGCACCTTCCCAAAACTGCCAATGTTTTAATAAGGATCGGGTTATTCAATTTGCAAGGAAAAAATCGAGAATAATGGGGGCATCCACTGAGATGTAAATTAATGCTGAAATCTCCATAAAACATAGTTACAACGAATAGTTCGAAAATTGTTTATTAAAATTTGTCATCTAAAACCCTGAGCAGCTAACGTAATACAATGATGAAGGAATAAACAACTATTATCTAGTACCTTGAATTGCTTTAATAGTAGTGAAACTTGTTTTGGTAGCACTGAAAAGTTTGGTAAGGGTGTTTGGAGTGTTAACACAAGACTCCAAACACTTAGCCCGCGTAGCAGGCGCTTGGAAGTAGCGGGCGAAAGAGGGAACGGGCGCCCGTTTTTTCTTGTGCCCACTACTTGCAAGCGCCTGCTACGCAGGCTACCAAACACTAAAGTCATACCATGTAAACTTCAATCGAACCTCCATATGTGACCACCTCTAATGAACAGGCACCTCTCGTAAGTAGCTACCTCCCATAAGCAACGACTTTTCCAATGTACCAAAATTTTCCCAATCAAAGCCTTATAGTTGGAACCTCTCTTAAATGAAAAGCTTATGTTAGAGACGGTGACCAGACTGTGACCACTCTTTGGGATGACGGTTTTGTTTTTAACCCCTACTAAGCTACCGCCTCATACAGTGGTCTGCAGATCTTTGTGTTGACTGTATGCACCACAAACTCAGGGTTTGAAAAGAAGATAACAACTTGGAATTATATATATTGTACGCTAAATATTGCATGCAATACATTCTATTGAAAAAGTAGATGTGTCTGGACTTCCTTCCTAAAGACCTCAACAGTCTGACTTTTGTAACTGACCACTTCCTGTGACCTCACATTTTGAGGTTCAACTGTATAATAATTTACAGTTTGCAGTAAACTAAAGTTGTCATCAACACTTACTTTGGCACTAGTACTTAACAAACTGAGCATGTAAATTCAGTTTGAGGCATCTTATCTAGCAAGTCATTCAGCAATGTCAGAGAAAAAGTGAAATAATGAAATATGCTAATCATCAGTCTTGTCTGAACACCTCCAAACCAGTCCCAAATCAACTTAACATCATTATCATTATATGGTGCTTTGAGTGCATTTCTAGGGTTTGCATCAATGGAAACTCTTAATATTCTCTGAAACTATCTTCAATATGCTACAAGAACATAATGGGTGTTTTCATCTGTGTGGAACACCACTCACAATAAACCCCTGTAATCTATTTGCAATGATTTTAAGCCAAATGCCAAATATTTTTTAACATACAGATTAGAACAATAACATTATGTTTCTTGTATGGAAAACCCAGTGAGAAATTTAGTTTACTTTTATTGTCCGATGTAAATGTACAGCTGTCATGGGTCTTATTTTTTCTTAGAAATTATGTTTTCCCAGTATTTACTTAGTCTGAATATACCTCATTTTTTGTACCTTGTATTCAGACAGTATTATTTTCCTTATTATTTTTATTATGTTTGAACAATACACTATTTTTGCCTTATTTCGTACGCTTTATGAATCAATAGATACAAAATTATTGTGGCATGTAGTCCCACCACAGGATGAATATATTTTAAAGAAAACTCAAGAATTCTGATCTGATCATTTGTGAGAGTTTTTATGTTTTTGTCTTGCTTTGACCACAACAGAACAAATTTTACATAATGCTGAAAGAACACACGTGTAAGGAAGCAATTTGATTGCCTTAGAAGAAGGTTCATATAAGAGTTTGCCCGTTCAGTCTACTGAACCAAGCCTTGAATTATATGACTTAAAAGGTAACCAGACAGGAACATGTATCACAGTGACTGGTATCACATTTATGGCAAGCTAGGTGCTCCTGAGCTAAGACAATTGAATGGAGTAATTTTTTTAGGAAATAAAAGTCATGCAAAAAGTAATTTAAAAATTATACTATTAATTTATAAATTCACATGAATAACAGTAATAATCATTCATCTGTACTCTTGAGAGTGCAGTTTTACCAATGTTAAGCCGTTCTGTAGTTATTACAGTGCTGCAATACCAAAGCTACACCGACTAGATAACATGCTCTCTACACTATGCCAAGAGTTTGTATGCATATCATAACGCTGCACCAGGCTAAGATAACCTGAACCATCATGTCCACCAACTGAATATAGAAAGCCGTTCAACACAGCCACACTTAGTCCTGTCCTAGGCCGACTCATGGGTGTGACCATGGTCCATTCACTGGATACAGGGTCAAACCGCTCCACACTTCGTAAATGAGAAACTCCATTGTGACCACCTAAGGAAAATAACCAGAAACATGAAGAGCTTATTAGTCCGGTCTACTAAAACATTGGTTGGTGGGCAAGAGGAGAAAAAAAAGGTTGGAACTTGAAAAAAGCACAAGAATGTGGTTAAAAAAATTCAGTGACCCCCCAAAAAGTGGTGTATTGATTTTATGTAGCTTGGGCTGTATAACTTTTTGATACATTCAACGGTAAACAATATCAGGATATCAGGGATAACAACACTGAAAATGACTTACTGTGAAACTCACAATATTTATGGAATGTTATTGTTTTGCGAGAAGGAAACCAATAAAGAGGGAGAAAACTAAACCGCAAACATTAACGGTAATTAGTTTGTGGTTTTGTGGTTTGCTGGCGTGTCCTGAACTTTATTGTGACTGGTCACTACACAATAAACCTTCCTAAAATTTTTCAGCTGTTCACGGTTTTCTGAGTTTGACAGTAACATGCACTTTTGTTTAATGTTCACCATCTAAACCCTGTTTTAATACCATGCCAAATGTTCTTTGACATTTTAGTTTTAGGACTGTTCATTTGAGAGTTGGCATGGATGCCCTTTTTAATCTTCCTGTTCAAGACCCTTTCCCAGCTACTACAAACCAATTAGGAGGAGAAGAGAAATGTAAAGAAAAAATTAAAAGTATTCTCACCAACTACATAAAGACAGCCATTTAAGACCCCAACGCCAAAATTGATCCTGTATGTGCTCATAGCAGGCATCATTTCCCAGGAATTTGAGCTGGGATCATATCGTTCAACAGTTCTAAGATAAGATGGCCCATAGCCTCCCAGAGCGTAGAGATAGCCATCACATACAGCTGCAGCAAAACAGCTTCGACTGTAATGCATAGGTGCAACATGACTCCACTGTTTAGTGCAACTGTTGTAGCATTCCATTGTGTTAAGGTATGTATTACCATCATAACCACCCAAAGAATACAAAAATCCACCTTCAGAGAAAAAACGGTATAAAAAAATCACAGATTGAAGTATTATACAAAACAGTGGAACCACGTTAATACAGTCAAGAATGGGTAAAAAAACGTGGCAGTATTAACAGGGTGGCCGTATAACCTGGGTAGGCTCAAATTTGATGACATGAGGGCCATAATGAAAAATACAACATAAATTGCCAGAATTCATATTTCTTGAACAACTGTTCTCATTAATAGACAACTGAAATGTAGATATCACATACAGTAATAATTATTGAAAAAACTACTTAAAATTTTCCGTCAGTACATAAAACACTTTTAAGCTTCGGCTATAAAACCGCCACAAGTGCATTTTAAGTGTACTGTAGTCCAAAATAGTACAAGAACAAGTTCAGATTACTAGGTCAATAAAATTGACATGTCAAAGGCACTTTAATTTTCTAAATTTCGAACAAATGGCCATATTCACGGTGTGAAATTCTAAGAGATTCTATTGTTTGGGGTTTTAAATTGTGACTGTTGGCCATATTTACCCGGTGACCACGGAAGTTTTTTATGAGGAAATGTTGCTGTTTTGCCAGGCAAAAAAACAGTGGCAATAATAACGAAATGACCGAATTACCAAGGTGGCTGCAAGGCGGGGTTCCACCATAATAACTTATTTTTTTTATAACCTAGGAATTAATTTGTTTAAAAATACAAAATAATAAAAATGCAAAAGATGGAAGTTAAATAATATAGTTGTAACACAGAGTTTCACGCACTAAGCGATCATCAGATTATTTTATCTATATATTTTGTAATTCCTGAAGGATTAACTGTGGGTATGAATAAAGTTGATTTGACAAATTATTTTATAGGGAGAGAAATTTCAAATGATGATGTAATAAGTGTAACGAAGTGAGAGCATATAAAACTATAAACATTTGCAATAAAAAATATTAAGTTTGCCAGAAAAATGAATTGCCCACATTATAAAAATTTCGTTTTTTCACCATGCATTTTATTAATTTCTAAATATTTTTCATTACAACCCTTTGTGCATTTTTATATCTACATTGTTATCACCCATAAGCTCACAACAGAGTCTGTGGTCTCAAACACCCTACCCTGTACTAAGAAATTTGCTGATTGATGTCACTGGGCAAATTCCATCCCTTGAAAAAAGCTTTGTTGTGAAAAACATTCTACTTTTGCTCTAAAGAGAAAACTTTTTGTATTATCAACAACTGAAAATTCATTTAAGATGACTTTCTTACCTAAGGGTTGCACTGAGTGGTTACTGCGGCACTGATTCATAGGAGGTACTCTGCTCCAATGACCAGTCTCAGGGTCAAAGCTTTCACAGCCATTATCACAATACCTAAAGGGTGCTCCACTGTGAACTCCAACACCACAAACAAGACCACCAACTGCATAGAGCTTACCTACAAATTACAAAGTTATTTGTCATATTTTATTACTTTGTTACCTTTGATTTCCACTCAAAGACTTTTCTCCACTCAAGATCAATGATCTGCATAATAAACTACATAATAATTGTCAAATGAAACCAAATTGTTACAAAATAGATGTAAATGAGCCCACACCTCGCCTTAACTTTAATCTAGGCATTTCGTGTCTTAATATTAAGTCAGAAAAAAGAAAAAAAATTGAAAGTAATCAATTACAGCAATGATATCACATCAAAGGATTTAAAAGCACTCAAATATTAAAAGTCAAAGATTGAGAAATTATGGTGTCTTGAATGGTTGATGCTCAAATCTTTTTGGTAGTGGCTTAGGTCAAATCTAGCAAAAAAGAAACTTAAATAATAACTAGAAGAATTTCAAGGGGTAGTGGGGATGGGAACAACAAACACTGGCTGCCATACATGTATGTGAAGGAAAGCATAGTCAGTCATATCACTAGTGGTATATCACTATATGTCAAGGGGAATTCATCATATCATAGGTATTAATCTGCAACACAGGAACTAAAATCAAACAAAAGTTAAAAGGATGTTGAATTAGTTCTTACAATGGTACCTCCAATCAGTGATATCTGAGTTGAAAACCTGAAGGTGTTTGAATAAATTAATCATCTTTTCAAAGAGCAGTAAAAGAGATTAATTTCCATTTTGGTCATGAAAAAGGCTAAAATTATAATTCAACAATTCAGGGTTCTAATAATATTTAGTGCTGGCAACTGGCTAAAATACCAGCTAATTTGAGGTCTGAGCTGTCTATTTTTTTTTAGGAAAATGTGAGGGAGAGAAAGCCTCAAATAACCTACAGCATTTGATTACCAAGCTAAGTTAAGGGAGAATCTTGACTGAGGTCCCCAGTACACACTGGATGCAGTGAGGTCTAAACCAGCGACAGAGGTCAAGATTCTCACAAACAGATCCACCTAGCTTGGTTAAGGTATCATCCACCCTCAAGCACCCTTCTCACGTTGATCAGCACTAGTGCTTTTCCTTTTAATAAATTCCCCCATGAACCATAAATTTTCTGAAAGCTTAGTAGTTCCAGATTATTGCTCATTCCTTTCAAAAAATCAAAATATTAATGCAATTCAGAAATGAGAAGCTTTTTGTGAAAGTGAGTATCACTGTACGTTTAAGTCCAGGCCCACCAAAAATGAACAGAAGGTTGCATTCGCTTCTTAACAAGTTTGACTAAAAAACTGTTTCAGATTTTTGTCAAGTACGTTTGTTCTTTTGTTATAAGCAGTTGAAGTTAGAGATAGCAAATCATTAGCACTACCTGTGAGAAAATGCTCTAACTCGAAAATGAAAACAGAAATGAAAATTCACAGAACAGTTTTTTAGAAAAACTATTTGACAGTAAGTTGGTCAAATTTCAGCTAAATTGGTTCACGGGTTGCCTAATAAGAAGTTTATTGTAACGGACAAGTGGCAATGAAAAATTAAAAATTTGGAAAAAGAGGGTCAAGCTCAGTAGCAGGTATATTTTCCACTGCTCTAGACTTTTTTAGTCACTCACAATGCACTTGGTGACTCTTGTATTGAGTGTTTTTGGATTCAAGCCTGCAAGCAGTCTCACTTGTGCAAGTTAGGAAAAATTTTTGGTGGTGGAGCCACCATTCTGCAAGGAGAATGGGCTGAACTTGCAAGAGTGAGCCTGCTTGCAGGATATTTCTGGATTTTCATCTTTGCTTTTAGCTTTCTCAGCTGCACTGGAATTTACTAATGTTTGATCATTCTCTTAACCTGTTTCCTCGTCTGGAACCACTGTTCTTTTCATTTATAACAGGGCATTTTTTTTTGGTTTCGACTTTTGTTTTTCTAACTTTTTGGGCACGATCCATTCAACCCAAATTTCCAGAAATTTCGGTCCAACACTCAATGGATCAGTTCAGTCCAACCGCAAAAGTTTGGAAAAAACAGGTCTACCTTTTGAGGTGGACCATTTTTCCCGGTTGGACCAGTCAGAATTTTGGTTGAATGGATCGTGCCCTTTGAGTTCAAATGTTATGTTTGGTCCACATGCCCGGGGGTACCGGTCCCTTAACCTTTACCAGAAGTTTTTTTGCTACCCTATACTAGTTGAATGGATAGCTGTTTCCCTGGTCTAGATAAAATCTTCAACCAACTGAGTTATACCCTAAATGTTTATATACCCTATCCTAGTTTTGAAAACCATCCCTTCACATACCTATATAGCCCATATATGGCAGTGCCCCCCCCGGGTCCACATGCTGGTCTAGATGGGAAAATCTATACTGCAGCCATTACTTACTTTAGCCATCAAATTCCCCACATTCTTGAATTAAATAGTTTCCAGTCCTTTTAAGACACAGCCATACATGTATCAAATAACAAATCGAATACGAGAAAAGGTGACACTCGAGGCTTTATTGTCACCTAGTCCTCTCCATTCTAACCTCAACCCAAACATGCCAGGTAATTGCCATGACATGTAGGGATTAAGAATATCTTTCAATGCATTTTCTTAAAATAATATTCAGTTTTCGAGCGTGAATGTTTACTTGATAAATTCATCCACGAATATTGGAATCCTAAGCAGAACAGAGAAAAGCCTGGCGTAGATTACGGCTTGAATACAATCAAAATCACAAAATCATTGATTTTCAAGATTTTGGCAAGCGAAAAGGAAGCTGGGTTGTTGAAAAACAAAATGAAACAAATAGTTGACATTACAAAGCTAATAACTGTACGGCTAACAGTTAAATGAAGCCTATTAAACTCAAGTTATCATTTACCATCTAGAACAGCAGCTCCAAACTCGAATCTTCGAAGTTTCATGCTCGAAACTTCAGTCCAGCGATCTCTTTCTGGCTCGTAATACTCAACGCTGCTCAAAGTCGCAAACAGGCCATTTTTTCCTCCAAGCGCAAAAATCCTCCTAGGAGCACGTCGAGGTTTCATTGCTTTCTCACAGGGAACCCCTTTGGCTTGAACAAGTCTGTATTTTAAGGCTTCGTTCAGTACAATTTGGCTCGTTCTGTCTGCGCGAATTAGTTCATTTGTCTCGTAGTTTGACGTCAGGAAACGAAGAGTCAGTAGAGGCAGACGAACATATTTCAGAAGTTTAGCAAGAAGAGAAATTCGTTCTGGGAGCTTGTGTTTAATCCACAAGAGCAATGCTTCAAACACAACTTGTTCAGAGACAACGTTCAAATTATCGTCTTTAAGAAGTTCTGTTAGCTGGCCTACTGGTAGAAGCAAAAATTCTTCATGTTTTACGACCTCTTGAAAATGGTCTTGAATGAATTTTCTCGATTTCTTCTGCAAGCTGTGGCAAGAGTATGCTTCAGCGAACTTGCTGATTCCTAAACAGTTACTAGAATGTAGCTGTTGACTAAGAAAATGACAGCAGATTTCCTTAACTCTGCTCAACTGAAGCATGTTAGCTGCTGGAAGTAAAAGTTGGACGTTTTCTTGTGTAACTCTAGCTTTTCCAGTGTATGCAAAATCCACAAGGGTATGAAGCGCATTTTCGTCTACTTCTCTCAAATGTATGACCTGTTTCTGGCTCTCAAGGAGATTTCCTGTAAACATGGCATTAAAATAGGGACTACAAGCCGATAAAACAACACGATGGGCCGAAACTCTTTTTTCTCCGGCGCACAATTCAACATCACAAAGCTCCCGTCTCTGTCGAAGTTGATTCAAACCTTTGAGTAGCTGATTCGAATGCACGACCTCTGGAGTTCCTGAATTAAGTTCTGATTCATTCACCATCGTCTTTCAATCACACTTATTCTCAAATCAAGAGAACAGTTGGTAAAAACATGAAAAACTCAATCGAAACAAGCATTTCTCTAAATGAAACCTTGTCGATTTCAGGCTCATGTTTAGTCAGCGGCTGTCCATGTGGAGCATGCAAAAATACTGTTTCGGAACAGATGGTTTTCTTTCCAAGACAAAGACAGATATCCCAGGAAAGGGAAAACTAAAGTCGATCGAGTCTGTGTCTCGGTGTAATTCTCTGTAACCTTTCAATTATCTGTTTTTTATACAGTATTTACCTTGACGTGTGGATACGCTTGAGTTCGTTTCTTTAGAAACGTGCAAGTTACTTGCTAAACACCGATTAAACATTCAATAGTGCTATATTTAGTTCCATGCAAAAAAGTCACGGAATCAGGACTTGAACAACTTTGTCGAGGAAAAAGGAAAATTATGGTAGCATACTTTATTGTCATCTTGGGTAAGTTACGTTTATAAGCATTTTTCCACGTCTGCACCCGCTTATATATAGTCTCTCACCTATTAATTTCTGAAGAAAGGGTCGATATTTTCACTTGAGCTTATATTTAAAGTTTAATTAGGCTTTATACGCTTTTTGAATCTCGTTATTTCTTATTAATAGTCTTGAAGTGCTGTAGGTACTTAACTATCAGTCAACAAATGGTTGAGGTCCCACTAGCAGATTTAGTAACAACTGTGTTGGAACCCCGGGGGGGGTACTCCCATACATTACCTATACGGGTATGTGCCGCCCAACGGGGTCGTGATTTTGAAGCTCCTGAGTTAGAACGGGGTATCTATTTCAGAGGGGTTTTCTAGAACGGGGTATAAAAATTGTGGATCACGGCTTTATCTTCTGCTTAATATTTTTGCTGATTATGAAGAAGCATTTATTTGATGTATAAGTCGAACAAATAAAGAAATATTTTTTAAAAAAACAGGGCTATTTCAATTTACAAACTTTCTAGAACGGAGTATAAAAAATTGGCCCATTTCTAGAACGGGGTATCAGTTTTAAAGCGAATTGTAGAACGGGGTATAAAAAATTGGCCCATTTCTAGAACGGGGTATCAATTTTAGGGGAATTTTTTTTTAGAACGGGGTGCCAATTTGGAGTCCCGGGCGGCACATACCCACCCAAAAAATACCCAAGTGCCCCCCCCCGGGGTTGGAACGGTGTCAAGCAGTTTTAAGTGTGGCCAAGTACTTGTTCACTAGTGCTCAAATCAAAGAGCTTTTTCGGAAAGATTATTTTCAAAAATACGGTTGATCGCGGAGAAACGTTAAAGTGTCATGAAATTTTTGAGGCAGTATTTCTACTGTTCAGTATTAAAGAATGTGACTGGTGGCAGGACTGTCAACCCCCACGTCTTTACATATTGAGAATTGATAGAGAAGGGATGACAAATGACCTATGACACATGACTTCATTTTCACAAAAAATTACTTGTTGACTTCGATCATCACGATAATTTGTGATGACACAAAATGCGCGGAAAAGATGTCGTTGGCATTGTAACATTTGACCTGATTGGTTTACTTCCTACCAATCACATTACTGCTTATATTACAATGGCATACCAGAGTTTATGAGAAAATGTTTGATGTTAACAGTTTAAGAGCTCAAACAATGCAAAATATTTGAAATTGTTGGAAAATCGAGTCTGTAAGAAATGGCAAACTTCGGCGATTATCCTTGAGGTTTCAGACTCTAATCTGGAGTCTGGGATATACGGTCCAAAATCTGGAGTCTCCCGGATTGTCCGGGAGAGCTGACAGCGCTGTGGTAGGCATGTTTTTGAGTTTGACTTACTGACAAAGGACTTTGAGATTGCATGTTCAGCTATTGCTGAACCTCATTTTAGTTTATCAAAATGTTTTTTGGAATTCAACTTTTTGAGAAAGCATGAGAAATCAGTTGCCAACTCGTGAGAGCAGGAGGTGGGTCATGAAATTTTGAGACTAACGACAAAGTTGTGAGACTTGGCAAGTCTGGAACTTTATTTTTCAATGCTGTGTTGCACCGTCCATGGTCCCCCCATGCAGACATCATTTTAAAACTTGCTCAAGTCCTCCCTCGAAATCTGTAGCGCTACTGCAATAACAAGTACGGTGATCTTGACTGTTTCTGAACAAGTCTGAACAGTGGACCAAGTTTCATCCCAAACCTATATGATGAGTTCTTTTACTGGGGGATAACCTTTGTACTCACTCAAATGAGCCATGGATTATTGTATTACAGGTAAATAGGGAAAATTGAAGTGCTAGAAAAAAAATCCTGTTATAGCTTGGAAAGCTGCCATCCTAGTCTTGAGTGTTTTCCTCACTCGCACACACATCGTAGCATGCTCACCTGGGAAATAAGAGGGAGTAACTGCTAGCAGCCTATTGTCATCCTTACCATTTATACAGCATGATAAAACAGCAATTGTTATTTTTTGTTATGGGGAAATGCCCATATAATCATTTCTTGAAAACCTGATTTGATACATGGATTAATAGCCTTTTTTGGTGGAAATGGATAATCAATTACTTTTCTCATATTTTATATTTCATTAAAGTCAGAAAGTTCATTCATGAAATATGATTACTAACGCGATGAGCATTTCTCTCGCGTAACATTTTTTTGAAAAATTGCTATGCTCGGCTCTACCCTTCTACCCCCATCCCCCCACACCGCTGCCCCCTCCTCCCATTCCGCCTCCCGTCAAACTTGCTCGTGAGCCCATAATTCCTGTTGCGTAGCAACGCCTCAGCTAATTTGTTACATTCGCACAGCAAGTGCTGTTTGTTTTGTGTCCCGTGAAAGCAAATATTTTCAGAGCGTTCAAAAGCTAGTTATTTGTAAATCAATTTGGTTGCGGATGATGTTTCCGAGAAGATTAAACAAAGATTTATACGGTCCTTCCCGTGTAACTGCAAACACTGCTATCAAAGACATTCTACTGCGCGACCATGTTTTACAAGAAGGAGAGTGGTACTCTGATATTGCGAAGCAAAAACCATGGACTACATCCTTCGCGATTTCTTTTGAGGTAGGCGATAAAAGTCTGTTTTCTTTTTTTTGGAAATATTTTCAAGTTCGTACCAAAAAGATAATAGATCTAAGCTAGTTTGCTGATTTTGACAGTTCGCGAACAGCGACCATGTAGGTCGTTACGGTCATGCGTCTCAAGGGTCGTTGAAAATTGTTTATTGCTGCTGTTTTGTGATGTAGTTGTTAAGTGTTTCACCCAACCTTGAAACGTTGCGAGTGGTAAATTTGAGTAAGCTTTTCAGCTTCTTTGATGAAATAGTAATCTATGTTCTATCCACATACAGTTACCGCTCCGGGGTTCTTAATTCACAGCTGTTTATCACGAAACGCAACGTGCTGAGTTAAGTCCCCATGAACCCGAACTCTCTACTTGTTTTTCTTTTTTCTTCTTTTTTTATTCCAAAACTACTTGCTTTTGCAAAATGTGAGTTTCCTTTTCATTCTGCTCACAACATTGGTAAATAGTGACTAAAGACTCGATTTAGGAATAATTTTCGTTTTGTTTAACTTAATTCTTCCAGAAACCCAGCGTAGATCCAAGTAACCAGCATGTTAGAAGACAGAAGGTGCAGGTATGTGGCAGATTTATTTATATCTTCTTGCAGTCCCTGAATGAAATTTAATATTGTGTTTGTTGTCTTCAGTTTTATGGCTTTAACAAATAAGACCGATTGTAGTTTACAAGTCTTGTTTCTGTCCACTCGTTTTTTGCCTGTAGTGATGGAGACTGTATATCCTGGTGTCTGGATGTACACTTCTATTGACAGTATAAATTTGCGACGTAATTGAAATATTAAAATGGGGTCTTGCTGTCAGCCTTCTTGTTTTGAAAATCTTTGCAAAAGATAAAATGTATTAAACTAGACAACTGGTAGTGTGTTTAATATAAGTGCTAAAAATGTTGATATCAAAATGCTGTTGATATCAATGCAGTTTACAGCAGTCAGTTTGCATGTCTCATATATTAGTCAGGTATTTTGTTATACACGACCCTGAGCAGTACTTGGTTGGGTTAAATTTTGGCTCTCTGCCATGAAAACCAAATTAAAGTGAGACCTAAATATCCAAGCAATACAATGGCTTTCCTGTCTTATTCCTGTTGAAGTTCCATCCCCCCTCCCCCCTCCCCCCTCCCCAGGGTGGCTCTTCGTTGTGTCCATTTACAATTTAATTTGTTTGGGTAGCTTTTTGACCGTGTTGATTTTTCTGATCATTTTTGTTTTTTAGACAAATATCACTAGTTTTGTGCTGGGCTCAACAGAAGGTCCCTTGCTGGCAACCACTGCTTCAGACTTTGACAACAAGTTCCATGGAGCCCCTGAAAAAGCAGCTCCAAACAAGTCAACAAGTATTCCTGTAAGTATTTGCCCCCTTTCAAGCTACTCTGAATCCCTGAAAATAAGTCTCAAGTACTCAAGTTTAGACTAATATAATATAATATACATAGGCGTACGGGCATTTTTGGCCAGGGGGGGCGGTAATCCATTTGCCCAAAAAATTCTTGCAAGTTGCCCAAATTTTTACAAAACAGTCGAAAGGAAACTAGGGCCATGCAACAAAATAGGCCGTACTGGCATATGAAAGTGGCTCGATACAGTTTTTCAGAGTCAATACCTGCCAAGTTTGAGCATAAACTACGTCGCCACAAACAAGCATTTGGAAAAAATTGCCACCACAGTTGTATTAGATAAAGAGGGAAATTTGTGATGATCAGGGTTGCAATGACATCGGAGCTATCATAGCAACGAAATGATGCCATTACCTATTATACTTGCAGCAATATTTCGAAATATTTCTCACTGGGAACTGTTCTTACAAAATCGTTCAGGGAAGCTCTTTCCTCTAATAGTCGCCTCGATGTTCGTGAAGTTAAAACGGAACTGTAAGAGCGTTATCGAGATCTTTTGGGATAAAGGTTTTATTGTTAGAAATAAGGTAAAAAAGGAAAATCTTGATGTTTAGAAAACGGAGTTTCAGTCTTATTAAAAACGTGTATGAAAGATCATGGAGATAGCTCCTGCCAATTGCTAATAAGGAAGGATTTGATTAGCGCTCGATCTTGTTAGGACGGTTTCGTAAACATTTCGGTCTACTTAAACAAATTAGTGAATAATTTTTAAACCCTCGATAGATTTTTTCAAGAAAATTATGATTCTTCTCGTAATTCAAACTGAGAATTAGTCAGCCACTTCACTTTCAGACCCACTGCTGATGCGTGTTCTGCCACACACTGTTCTAGGAGCGGAGGTGATTCTAGAAAGTTATGCAGAAGTTTATTCTAATCAATTAATGACTGGAAATAGCCCACTCCAGCTAGTACAGTGAAGTACAGTGCCCAACAACTACAACAAAAAATCAGCATATGATACCCTTCCCTTATAACCAGAAACTCATCACGTGCTAGGCAACCACTCTCTCATGTGAATGTAACTGAATTATTACGCCGACTTCTGGTTAAAATAGAAAATATTTGTGTCTTCAAAATATAATAATAATAAAAAACGAGGAAACGTCTTTAAAAACTGGCTTTGCCCAAGTTTTCTCTTGCTGCCCAAAAAATCTGAGTTGCCCAAACTTTGGGGGGGCTGCAGCCCCCCCCCCCCGGCCCGTACGCCTATGATAATATAGCAGTTTTGTGTAGGCAGCCAAAGCACTGTTTGGGTCCTTAAACATGAATCCTTGCTCTACAGCTGTCTCTACTTACCTGTATAAGCATTTACCACGGCATCAGACAGCTGTACATGTACAGGTGTATGTAATTTCTAATGCCCTGGTCATGAGGTGACTCTGATTGCTTGTTTCTCCTTTGCATGTCTTGCTTATTGTTACGAGTCTTGATACTAAATATACATGTATATTAAAGCAATATTCCAGGCACATGCCCCTTCATATATTGTGCATTCACTTCCACTAAAGAACCATACATGAATTTTTTACCAAGTTGTTCTCCAAACATTTTTTTTTTTTGCACTAATATAAGGAGTTTAGCATTTTTTAGCATTGTGTTGTGGGTAATAATAATATTGCAGTGTTTTAGTCTGTAACTTTAAAAGGAAGTTATATAAATTTTAGGGATTGGGAATTGGCAATTGGGCATATGGAACAATGTAATTGAAAAGTTATTTGCCTGAGTGATCACCAAGCAATAGTTTCCTTGTGCCCAATTCCCAATGCCGAAAGAAACCTTCATTGAATCAGCTAGATATACATGTTGGTCATGGGTCTTTTACCATTAAACTCACAAGACCCTGAACCCCTGAAATATTTTGTGATGTTTATGTGTTACAACCACGCATGAAATAGATCAGGACAAGTGAGCAAATAACCATTGTTGTTGTGGTTTAGTTCTCTTATGGCTGATTAGCTTTTCCTCTACCACACAGTCACAATAACATTTCACAAATATTCCTGGTGTTCATATGTAGCTTTCTGAGAGTCACGTTATTCATGATCACTCACATTCACTCGTTGATTTCGTATATTTAATTTATTTTTCTGGAATGATGTGCATCTTTGCTATTTCAATTTATTGCTGGTGCAGCTTTAGAATTTCTGTAAGTGTTAAATTGTTCAGTTTAACTTCCTGTTTATGTTTCTGCCTTTTAATAGGATTTTGCTCCAAAGTACATGTCAGATAAGACATTTGGCAAATCTGGATCTGTTTATGTCAGCTCATTTGCAAAGGTACGTTTTGAGTAATATACTGGCCAGGGTATTCTTTATGACATTACATGTACATGTAGTGACAGTCCATGATATATATGACCATATATTTTGTGCGTTTTCCACTGAGAAAAACTTTTGCCGTCCTCTGAAAAACCTGGAGATTTCAGATTAAAGTTAACGATTGGCGCAATAACGTAAAAAAGCCAATAACATGTTTCCCAGATTGCTTTCTGTTTGAAAGTCAGTCTCCAAAAGTTCAGGCTGTTTTTGCCAAGATCTGTGTAATAAAAAACATTTTAGTCCTGGTCTGCCTTTTTGACTAAAAAGTTTTAACCTTGTGACAACCTTGGGTGTGTTTTTTCGGTGAATCCAAAAACGGATTTTGGATCTAATGAATCCTTTTTGAAAAAGGATTCACTGGATTTGAAATCCGAAGAATCCAAATCCAGATCGTAAACGGATTAGTGATCTACGCTGTTCCATTCACAGTTGATCCAAAATTAGTCAGATGATCCAGTGGTATTTTTCCAGTTGAAGTATTCCCGTAAAGTTTCCTTTTTGCTTCCATTTGCTGTAAAATGTCTGAAAACACTGGCAGATTGTTCCTGGTACAATAAAATATTCATTTGCTAACCATTTGTTGCTAAAGATTGCTTAAAAATGCAAATAAGTAAAAGGAACAAATGAACTGCTATCTTTCTACAGACTCAAAAAATACATAAAATCCTCCCAGCAGTTTTGGTTTTGTTCTAGGAATTTAAAAAATGAAAGTTGGTAAACTTCAAAGGACTGAAAGAATTTGTATTTCAGACGATTTTGAAAAATGTGACTGTTAATAGTATTGTGAAGTATTCTAAATTTTGCTAATTTTTGGCAGAAAAACCAAGGGCAAGCCTCAAGTGCAAGGAACCGAGCTGAATGCAAACAGCATACCAGTGATTTGAACGCAACACATTTCCAGTTTGGAACTGATGCCAACAAGTAACTTTTTTTTTGTAATTTGTAAATTAGCCAATAAATAATATAAAGTTGTACACATAAGCATAGCTCAGCTGATTTCGTTTAGAACTCCAAATATTGTGCATGATTGTTACATCATGTTGGAGAATTTTATTTTCTTAAAATACAGGTTACTGCTGCACAAACCCTGGTAATCAGTCTTGTTTCGATCTCTTGTTTGTTTTTAGATACAGCTCTGAAACAAAAAACTGTTTCGAGAACAAATCCGAAACTCATCCCAAAGATACAGGCTTCATTAACGTGGCTTCCAAAACAGCCTTGGAGACTTACAAATCAAGTGTGTTCAGGAATGGAGACTGGAATGTAGATGAGCCACACCTTGTACGACACTCTGTCACTTGTAACGATTTCCACATAAAACCATTTTCTACAGAAGATTGTGAAGATTTAAAGGAACAAAAAGAAAAGAATGGAGAACTTAATGAAAGTGAGAAAGGAAAATTTCTCATCAATCCTAAAGGTAACCTGCACTGCATAACATGTAAACTAAAATGACGAACTGCAAAAGAGAAAAAAAAGTTCTCGCCGAAGTCCTCTGTTAGTACGTGTATAAAACATTTACAGATGATTGAAATGTTGAAAAAAAATCAGACAAGCATATTAAGTGGCTCAAAAATCTGATCAAATTATGCCTGTATCATATAGATTGTAATGATAGAATAGTTATCTTTTTTTTCATGTGGTTATGTAAAATAATGCCTTTTCTCTTTGTCAACTTTTAGATGATCCTAGCCATCCTTACTATCAGAGAAGCACTCATTTTGTGGTAAGATTTGTTTATTTTTTGCTTCATGACATTCTGCATTGACACCACAATGATCTCTGTGTCAGAATTTGTTGGGTGTTGAGGTAGCCTGCTCATGACAGGAGCAAAAAAGGGGGGAGGAAGGGTGGGGAGGGTGAGAAAAAAGTGAAAGGGACGGGAAGTGCCTGTCTTAAGAATCAGAGTATTTGCATTAAATGAGCCCCACTAATTTCACAGCTGATCTAATAACATCAACTGTCATTGTTTGACCAAAAATTTATAGCAGGGTGCATTCTAAGCATAGGCAAAACTTCAGATGCAACATATTGTTTAATGGAAAATGTTATGAAGCTTCAGCTCTCTCTTCACAAACCATACAGAAGTTCATTTCTGGGATAGAAACTAGGCTAGCTTCTAAATTTCTCCAAATAAATAACAGAAATAATAGTTATTTAACCGAAGTCCCTTGTGGAAAACAGCATTGCAACATCAGACAGCCCTGGCTGACAAGAATTTATCGTAGACTTTGTAAATGTGGTGTTTGGGAAAATCCAGCGGCCAAAACTACCAGGCCATCCATATACTCCATATACTCTGGTCGTCAATAGCTTTTACCATCGGAGCATGTTTCCTTCATTGTCTGTCATTGCATCATGGCTGACAGTTGAACATTAAGGCTCAGCCAATCGCAAATTTGTAGCCTGCTTCATACTTCCTGTATTTCGATCCTTTCAATTCTTTGTTGTGCATGGAAAAGGGATGTCTGTGTTACACTGTTGCTAATTGTATCCCACTTGGGAATTCTTTTCTTCCAATACCTTCTACATTATCTTACATTTGGAAACAGTGTCTTCAAAAGCAAAAGTTAAAGTGACTTTTAATAGCACCATTTGGGGGAGAACTTAATCAGAGAATCTTGCAAAAATACTTTTGCAAAGCTATTTTCTGTGACACAAAGGAGGTGAAGAAGGTTTAGGCACTTGACACTAGGAAGTAAATTTGGTAAGATGAATCACTTTCTTCACTTAATGATTATGGCTTGGCTCCTTTCTCGTGCATCAGTCAAAAATGTCCAAACAGAATGGCTTAATCTCCCACATTATTTTCTCTGTTAGAACTGCGATCATAACACACCATGCACCGGCTCAAGATTATTTTGTCCAAAAAAAATGAAAATAACTGGCGTGTGGGTTATGGCTCAGTGACCAAATGAGATGAAAGTAAACACACTGCCTGAACAGCTGGAAAGCTTGGGGAAAATTCTATGCTGGCAACAACAGCTGTGTGGAAAACTCCAATCTTGCAAAATCATGTGCAATAATATTTATTATCTGTTTCTTAAACGACGTTTTGAAGACAAGAAATGTGCTCTTTGAAAGTCCCAAGTTGTTTCCATTCAAACAAGATGTAGACACAAGTGGTGATTTTGTCGTATGAAAAATTGAATATGTAACACAGCGGAAAACTGAAACACGACTAGTGATGGCATAGAAGCAGATGTCACTTTTCCGTGTGCAACAAAGAAAATAAAGAGATGTCTGCATGCAGGCTATGAATTTGTGGCCGCCAGCAGCATCGGAAACAAACAAAAGAGGGCTGATTCTAACCATCTTCCTCTCTTCTTGGACTTTCCTCCCCTGTGCCTTTTTACATCTGCCGTGCAGGCTAAAATTTAATGTAGAGAACAAAAGTAGTGATGCTTCATGGAACCTTGATGTATCCAGGCATTCAGATAGAACACAGTAGATTTAAAGTAGAGACCAGAGCTCTAGCTATTAAAAAGAAACCTTTTTCATGATACATGTTACGTTATAAAATGTAATGATTTCTCCTTAAAGCTGTATCTGAAACGTGTACAGTCCTCTTAGTGAAGTGATGGCAACGTTTTTGTTTTTGTTTATTGCAGTTAGGTACCAACAAAGATGACAGACACTCATTATATTACAAAGGTAAAAATAAACAGGTCCACAGCTGACTTTTGTTTACTTGAGGTAAATTATTTAACAAGCATTATTATTCATTCAAAATATTTCCTAAACTCTGATTAGCTAAAAGCACACGCATAATTCACCATAACCAGTTACTGATGACCAAATTTGGAAGAATTTTGTGTTTCGCAAGGAAATGACATAAAAAATGCAGCCTGCTACAGGTAAGGCTCGTTACTGAGAAGACCTCAGGGGACAAGGTTGAGTTGTTTTGGTTGTGACAAAAAAAATGGCAGACATTTCACTTGTTTCAAGAGTAAGAACTACAGCTGGAGCTAGGTGAACTAATAGTTAAAAACATTGCAAAAATAGCAAGAAGACACCTCGGAGGACAACATCTGCTATTTGGAGAATAATTTATTTGCATAGCTGGACAAAGCTAAACGTACACTATCGAAGATAAACTTAACATCGATGCAGGAAAGCATGTTTTTGCTATGTTTTTAAACTAGGAATTATTTTGAATGAATCATAAAGCAATTAATGAATTTGGCTTACATAGGATATGAAGAATTAAGCGGATCTCGGAGGGCGTTATCCACCTCAGTCTTTGGCCTCGGTGGATAACACCCCCCTCGATCTCCTTAATTCTTCATATCCTACTCATCCTCATTCATTAATTGCTAATTATTGCAGTAGGATTAATTTTAAATTTATTCAATGATTTTATTTCTATTGCAGATTTTATGCTTGGAACGCAAGAGTCCTTAAAAAAACCTCTGCCAGCTCCTCCTCCAATTTCTTCCAAGGTAATTTGTTATTTGATAATGAAGTGTTTATCAATATATACATGCATGGACATATATACATGTAATGTAAAGTTAATCATTAGACCTCACTATACTGGATTTACTGAACAATCTGGAGCATCAGTATGCATAGTCTCCTGTGCAGACTTTCTTTTTGCTCAACACACAATCCTTCCCAACTATTAAACATCTGCTGAAACTAGCGGTTGAAAATGTAGACCAATCTGAGCACAGTTTCCAGATCTGGGAAGCGTACTTTGGACCTTGAGAAATTTAGTGCAAGACCCAGGATGTGAGTCTTCAGGAAAGGTCAGAAAAGATCAGAAAAGGTCTCCTATAAGAAACAGCCCCCTAGATTTCTTCGAACAAACTAAAATTCTACTCCATCTTTAAAAATGAAACAAATTAATCTGAATTCATCAATCATATCCGGAATGCTGAACATAGGCATGTAGCTTCCAAATTTAGGATAGGAAATCATAATTTAAAAATAGAAACTGGAAGTTTTACAATTCCCAAAAGACCTGAAGACCTTAGAATCTGTAATAACTGCAACCCAAATTTGGTTGAAAATGAAATGCACATATTATCTCGCTGTGATCTATATAATGATTTGAGAAAGACTCTTTCTATTAAAATCAATGACCGAAATACATTATTCACAAATTACAATATCCATGATAAAGTCTGTTTCCTTTTCAACAATACTGATTCACATATCAGCAGGCTAACTGCCAATTATGTTTCTTTCGTCTTTCAAATGCTTGACAGACGGAAGAAACATAATTAATTCTACCATTCCATTACATCTTCATTTCCTTAAATTTAGCTGTTCATTGTTATTTTAATCGGTAACACCTGTACAAAATGGTAAAAAATACTGAATAAACTTGTAATTAGATTATTTGATGGGAATAACATGCCTCCATGCTAGTGGCTTATACCCCCAAAATCTCATAGAAAAAAATTACCTTTGAGGTTTAATTTGCCGCAGCTTTACTGCAAAATGGATTTTTGTCACAATGTTAACTATCCTGTAGTTACCTAACCTTAAGAACATGTTAACATGGAAACGGCATAGCTAATTCAAATCCATCCTTCATAAAGAGAAATATTCAAAGAGCCCTCTGCTTGTCCTTAAAGATCAGATATCACACTCAGCTACATGTATCCCCGAACTTGTGACTTGTGTTTGGTTTGGTTTATTTAACAATTACCTACTGCTGATTACTTTTCTGGTAATACCAGTATGTGAGTGATCTCCAGCTGATATTTGCAAACAAAGGGAAAGGAATTTAACCCTTTGTTTCAGCAGACATTCATGCAGAAAAAATGCATGACTAACCCCTAAGAATGTCTGCATGGGAGGCTACAGCATGAGCTAAGGTTACCTGGATAAATTACGTGTACTGTTGTGACTGCACAAAGCCCAGTGGTCTCAACTCATACAGATCAAGACAATCATGAACCACCTTTAGTTGTCTGCAGACTTTCTCAAAATAACCACTTTGGGGACTAGGAAAAGGAATTTAGTTTACGGCAAGAAATATTATTATATCAGATGAAGATACATGTAAGCTGACTAACAAGTCAGCGTTCCAGTTAATTTTTTTCAAGTGGGGGGATCATGTAGACCATCTGAGGGGTCACTTGCTTATTTTTTTGTTATATAATTTTAACTTAATACTTATATGTCATCTGTTGAGTCAAGAAGCCTTCTTTGTCGAGTCATTGACCCGAGACCCATCTTTTACCTGAAACACTGCAAGTATCAGTCATGGCTGTCAGAGCAATGCAGTACATCTTTCCAGTTTTTGGTCAAATGGCTTTCCTGCTGACTTGGTCACTCTAAATCCATTTGCAAACAAGTATTTGATTTTCTTTTACTTAATATCAATTTTGTTACCTAGACAGGGTAACATTGCATGGTGATAGGTTAAGTCAATTACTTGTTGTCTAATTCTTTATTTATTGTGATACTCGTAGGTTCTTCCAAATCTTGAGGACTGCCTGCCTTGGCGCTCAACAAATATGTCAGATTTTGTTGACCATGGAACTCAGATTTGTCAGGTAGGTTCAACGTAACATCTTAACATTATTTTTTTTGGCTCAAGTTTAATTCAAGGAAACAAGTGAATTAATCACATATATGCCTAATTTATTGCTGATAAGCTTGAAGCTTGCAATCTTTTAATGAATAAAACCACCTTGTTTTTTTTTCCAATTGATCATTTTAGGGAAGAGCAGCTGAAACAAAAATAAATCGAGTAAGTAATAGTAATTGTTGTTTGTTTTTTTATTAGATGTGTTTTTAGGTACTATAAGTCATAAAGTGGTGATTCTCTCTTAGCTTGTTTAGAACTGTCAGCTATTCTCAATGCATTTATTTCTTTCTTTTTCTGTAACAAATGCCTCAGTTTTGCTCAGCTCTCAAGCAAGTATAAAAGTTTTTTTTTCTGCATAATTTCCTGTAGGAGTGCCAGAATACTCTGGCTGTTTCTCTGACATGTGATGAACAGCGTCATGCTGGAGACAGACAAGTATCAAGTAAGACAATTTGCTGTGGATGAATTCCACAGCGTACAAATTCTTTAATTTCCTTACCCTATCTCCAAAAAATGTACAAAAACATGTAGCTCAGGATGGCAATGCACACACAGGGTACTTACAATGGACTTGGGACTGTGTGAAAACGCCCTTCCAAGCAATTGTTACATAAGACCCTGCTCCTACAGACAATTTTTTGTTCGGCTTTGAGTTCGTTCCGTCGTCCCCCCACTTCCCCTAGCAATGTTGTGGCCAAAAAAAGCACTCATTTTCACCCACTTTGCTCCAAATTCAACTTTGTTTGGGGTGGGAGGGGAGGGGTCGCTAGTTTTAGTAATATCACTGGAAAGGTCCCAACACTTTTGACGTCCATTGTAGGTCATTGGACTTGCACTAGAAGTTATAGGTTGTTTGTTTTAAGTAGTCATTTCCTATATCTAGAAAAGATTTTAGAATAATGACCAACCAAATGGAGTAACAAATGATTCTCAGAAGTGACGTTATTTGCTGATGATGTTGGTAAATTAACCCTTTTGAATCAGTGGGATTTATTGTAATATTTGATGGTCTGTGAAAGTAACAAGATTTAAAGTATAGCCCTTAAAGCCTGTTAATTGTTTATCTGTTTGTTTGTTTGTTTGTTTGTTTATTGTATAGTGACAGGGTCTAGCTACCTGCATCCACCGGGGGACATGCCATATCTGAGTCCTCAGAAAGAACCCAGAAGTAAATATCGATATCTGGACAGTAATGGGGCCCTGCTAAAATCCCCACTCTGGCCAAAGCCCTCTGAAACAAAGGTAAATGGAACCTTTTTAACCAACTCACTTTTATAAGTATACTTCTTCTGTATATTTTTGTCCTCAATATTTTTTTTATTTTAAATGATGCTACCCATAACAAGGTTATCATGGAGGCTCATGCATATGGTACATGATATTAATCTAGTGTTACATGGGTGTCATGGGAAGGTGCATGTTTAGCCATGTCTATAAGCTCTGATCAGTATCTCAAATGCTTTGATACCTTCATGAACTTTTGTCTTGCAATGCACAGGACCCCGGCACAAAGAAGTGTACAACCTACACAAATTAAGTTGAAGGTTTCTCAAATAAAACAATAAATAATCATGTTATATGTTCTAATCACTACAGGATGAGTTCATTCCGCATATTGAAGAGTTTAAGATTGGCGAAGTATCAGTTAAGCTTAAAGACAAAAAAGCTGACTGTGTTGGTCGGATACGAGATAACAGGAAAACACATTTTCAGTTTGGTTCAGATGATGAACCAAAACATTCTGAGCAGGTATATACTTAATTCGCTGAGTTTTCCGTCAAAGCGTGCATTTAATAATCATAATAATCTCTTCAATAGAAGACAGTAATTTGTCAAAGCTTTAACATCTTGCCTTGAATTTTTTTAATCCATGTTCTTTCCAACAGCGTGACCAGTTTTTTTCGTCCATTCGGCTGGATCCATCTCTCCCTGCTGCTGGGAAAAGTGAAGGTCCTGGACAGAAATATTCCCATGTCTTTCCGAGGTAAGCCACTTGTCTGGCGGTCAGTGGTATGATCCTGTGTGGTATAAACTTATAACAAGCATTAAAAATGAGAAAAAGCCTTGCATTATCGAGAAATGCTACAATCCAACATCAGCATCACAATATCTTTAGGATGGGACACACCGCCAGCAGACATAGCTGTAGTGCCCGGATGTGAAGAGGGAACATTTTGCAGCTACGGATAAACCCCCTTTTTTGACGTTACCATTTTTTACGAAAAAAAAAAGACGCGTGTGGCAAAATTCTTCTGTCCATTACAATTTTCTTTTTAGAATGTTTTTTTAAAAGCTTTCTCCTTTATTTCGACACTTTTTAGGTGATTGAGTTTGTTTTGTTTTGCATTACTGAAGCTGTTTAATGCGTATCGCTACTGTCGCGCCGATCTCAGTTGATCGAAGTAAATTCGACTTAAGAACGGCAGTAGCTTGACGTTTGAAACCAAGTCGTGCTACTGGGCAAGCTGCCGAACTCGATTCATATATTGTAAATGCGTTACAATAGGAGGAAAAGATTTTGAAGAGCTAATTAAACCGCTTTTTTTGTTTCTTTGATTTGTTTTCGACAGGAGTTGTTTACTTTGACTGAACTTAAATTTTTCAACTGAAACCACGTGACCTTCCTGCTACAGTCGAGTCGGCTTGATAACGGCAGTAGCACTACTTTGCATCCACTCCTTGTGACTGCCAGGAGATCTGATCAGCTCACATAAATGTCTGCCTCGTGTTTTGATTGGTCAGATTAATGGCATCAACCTCGTTCCCAGGGCTTTTTCGCGTTGAAAATTTTAAATTGTGAGGGAAAAAGCCCTGGGAACGAGGTTGTAGTAAGTTTGTGTCCAGTTCACGAATGTCCATTTAAAGCCGCTCTCATTTACCCTGCCCCACACATATCCTTGTTGTTTTTCTAGTGAATCAGCCGAACAGGGAAGGCAAAGTGCCCGTGATTCTCATCCACTTGATGAAGTTACAAAGATTAAGAAACATTCACAAGAATTAGGTCAGCAAAGGTACAGTGAAGTGGAAATGTCACAATGTCTGTCACTTGAATCAACCATCATAATCCATTCTTATTTCTGTGACTCCGTTATTTTGACAGATATTTCAATACATCTGATGCGATGAATATTAACTTGAGGAAAGCGTTCTTGGAGTTTGACACCAGTTTGTGAGTACTCGCTTGTTCTTAGTTTCTCTCCACGTTCAACTCTCACAAATAATTAATTCGACATTTACCTCTGTACCTTTCGAACCTGTATGCATCAATTTTTGAATACAAGAAAGGTAATGTTGAATCACTCCGTTAGGGACTGGGATCCTCGTGGGATAACTAGAACATTGTCCCTAGGCTCTTTAACAGTCCACTTGTTAGTAAAATGTAAAGATTTGTATGAAGCGTCTCATATAATCCAGGCGAAAATGAATTAGGGAATATTTAAGGTGATTCCCTTAAAAGAAATTTCCTACCCACATTTTTTCAAACTTGGTACAATTGTTAGCCTTGTATTAGGCTGTCAAAAATGCAATAAAAGGATCGCGTCATTTTCGAAAAGAAAAGGAAAGAAAAGAACTATGAATATTACAGAAACCTACGTAGGGCCTATTTTTTTCTATTCTATAATCTAAATTGTAACCAGGAGGATTAATCATCATCGCGTATTAAAACTTTTGGACTACAAAAGCAGCCTTTTTTACCTGTCTTCATCACCGCCACCTTTGAAGTCGCAATAGGGACTTTAAGATCCAACGACGCGACGGCGACAAGAACGTCGCTTAAAAAGTGAATTTGCGTTCTTTCAGTCTTCATAGCGATTATTCGTACCCACTTACTTTGTCAACTGTAGGCGAACCCTCCTGAAGCTGAATTTCAAGGGACCAAAGTCAAGCTCAGAAAGAGAAATAAAATTTCGTCGTTGCTTGTTTACGTCCTCCATAAAACCACAGGTAACCCAGGCTCTATGATAGTACCACAGTACGGTTCCAGTAAAATTACAGTGTTTGTATGGGGTAAAAATATCATCCTAAAATTTCTAGGAAATACTAAATAAAGATCAATGAAACTTACTCTGCAGTTAATTGTTGTTGTCCTTACTGCTCCAACGAAGTTTCGTGATAATTTGCAGTAATTTGTTCAAATTCACTCTATCTACAATAATAATATACTAGGTAGGAAACACGAGGTGCCATTTTCGCCGACATGCTCTCATTCAACACAACTTTTTCCACGAAATTCGAACTCCAACGGAAAATAAACATGCCAGGATCGTAGAAATAGGATAGCAGCAGATATAGAAACCAATGACGCTTTCCCAGATAGAGAAACGAATCCCACAGACTTGGACGAACTCGAAGAATATAATCCAAACACACCGAGAATACGCTCGCCGAAGCAGCCGGGCCAGATCAACGCGCGGCCAAGAAAATGAAGCCTGGGCACTGTACAAAAAAATTCCATCTCGGGAGTCCTGGGGTGACCTTTCTAGGGACCGATACATCATTTGCCCAAGGCCACTCTCCCCTGCTGGAAAAATACTTGATAGAAGGCAATTGTTCTTCCTAGCCAATCACTATGGCCTGTTATAAAGAGATTATTTTCCTCTCGAACTATATTCAGCTCCTGGCGCTGGTCCTCAGAAAGTTTATCAAACATCAGTAGGGCAAGGTTATAAGGGCAAAGGCAAGAACAACAAAGGACGATTTACAAAGCTTAAAACGAGCAAAAGATATAAGTGAATTTTGGCTCTTACCGAGGCATTTGTACAACAGGACCAAATTCAAAGAGAGGTGTATCACGCTGATTCACATATTTAACCGATAGAGCGTTCACTTGTATTGACAAGAAGTCGGCGTGTTACTGCCGTATTAATCGCTAAATATGTTAATCGCGCTAGTTCTTTGTTTACTAGTGCACTTGCCTTTCACATTCGTCTCAGTTATCGCAATTCATATTCTGTCGCAATTTTCTGTATAATTTTTGACATTAGTTTGTAAGCTTCACCGTTTATTTACGATAGTTTCGCTCGAGAGTTCACAGCAACAGTATCTCAGTCATCATCTACCTTTTGTTCAACCTTGTTTTTAGTCCGCCTTGTAAGCATTTCGCGTTGTTATTTCATTAGTTTCATTACTGTTATTTGCATTCCTTAGTAAAAGAAATGGGACGCCTTGAAACTCCGCAGACTCTCCTGATTATATTACTATTTTTTTAGCCATTTAAATTCAGGCGCGTGTGCGGGGTTTGCTCTGGCAAATGGTGATTGGCTAGGAAGAACAATTGCCTTCTATCAAGTATTTTTCCAGCAGGGGAGGGTGGCCTTGGGCAAATGATGTATCGGTCCCTAGAAAGGTCACCCCAGGACTCCCGGGATGGAATTTTTTTGTACAGTGCCCAGGCCTCATTTTCTTGGCCGCGCGTTGATCTGGACCGGCTGCTTCGGCGAGCGTATTCTCGGTGTGTTTGGATTATATTCTTCGAGTTTGTCCAAGTTTGTGGGATTCGTTTCTCTATCTGGGAAAGCGTCATTGGTTTCTATATCTGCTCTATCTGCTGCTATCCTATTTCTACGATCCTGGCATGTTTATTTTCCGTTGGAGTTCGAATTTCGTGGAAAAAGTTGTGTTGAATGAGAGCATGTCGGCGAAAATGGCACCTCGTGTTTCCTACCTTGTATATTATTATTGTAGATAGAGTGAATTTGAACAAATTACTGCAAATTATCACGAAACTTCGTTGGAGCAGTAAGGACAACAACAATTAACTGCAGAGTAAGTTTCACTGATCTTTATTTAGTATTTCCTAGAAATTTTAGGATGATATTTTTACCCCATACAAACACTGTAATTTTACTGGAACCGTACTGTGGTACTATCACAGAGCCTGGGTTACCTGTGATAAAACGCGAAATTAGGCATTTTCACGTCGAAGTCGTGCAAAAACGGGAAAGAAATGTACAAAAAAGTGTGATGCACGTGCGAAGTTGTTGTTTTGCTAATTAAACCAATTGTTTTTTTGACGTTCTCGTTGTCGTCCGCGTCGTTGGATCTTAAAGTCCCTAGTGTTATGCGTAGTAGGCGGTGGGCATTGAAAAACAAGGCAATCACCTTAAGTCACTTACCCAATGAAGGCGTGAATTCCTTTGCAAAATACGCACATAGTCCTCGCATTTTCTTTTATTGTTTTTGAGCTTAAAGAAAGAGAACCAATGAATAATTTTCAACGGGCAGTTGTGACCGGTGGCCATACGCGTATGCTGCAGATGAATAGGCCAATTCTGGGTTCCAAAAATTCTCACTTTCAAAACGAGGCCTAGCGCAAACCTTTTTTTTAAAATGGGTTGTATTTGCATGAGAAAAAAATCATTTTATATTAATGGCTTTGCGCTTAGCCTAGCTTTAAGCTAGAGACTTGGGGTAACTCGGAAATATTTTATTCACCTGAAATGTTGGTGGCGTGTTGACTGTCATGTAGCTCTAGTTTTCAAAGCCATAGGAGACTTGCACTTCAACAAACCAAACATCACAAATATCTGGTGAAGAGTACGCGAGGTCAAATTTTGTTTTTTTTTTCAAACAGGAGTGGACGAATTTCCAAGGACGATCTGAAAAACGTTCTCCGTAGACTCTCCATCAGTATGGATACAGTTACGTTTGAAAATCTCACCAAAATGTGAGTGAACAGCGATCTTTCCTTGTGTCAGTGTTTCTTAAGTTACTGAAGTTTCACCTTGTGATATTTTTCGATTAGCAAAATTTAAGCAAAGTGTTCTTACCTCCATGACTATATGAATTTCATACATTTGAACTACGAGATAAAGGAATAAATACAAAGAAGATCATCATTTAACAACCATCTCCAGTTTAATTTGTTAGAGCGCTTTACCAGGATCACAGAGGTTAGGGTTTGAGTCCCGGAAATTTTCAGGCTTTCTTTTTGCAACTGCCTAAGTTACGTATTTAACAGTCATGAACCTCTTTGCGTTTATTTGTTCTTGCCTCTGTCAGTGAACATGCCGATAAGCGAGTATTTTTATCATCCATTAAAAGTGAAAGCATTTGTTTGCTTGGCAGTGGTGTTTTATGTGTCACTTACTTTTTCCCGCTCTTTTCGCCGAGTTCTTAAGACTAAGAAGAAAGTTATTAATCCAGCCAATCTGAATACGCGTACAGCATCAAATGTACCAATCGCATTTCGAGGCAACAAAGTGTAGCCGGCTCCTAGCGCGGAAAAACCTATGCCAGCAAGTCAAGAATTTTCATGTTTGGCGAGATTTTTCGATCAATTAGAGAGCAATACTTAGACATATCATTTTAAAGTGACTGCGTGTTTTTTTCTTCAGGTGCGATAAAAATAGCTCAGGCTACATCGACTACAAAGAATTTGCAAAACACCTAACGAAAGATGCACCCCTTACTAAAGGAGGAAAAGCATCGATTTTATCAGTGATGAAAGCAGATTACTGCCCCCCAGAACAACGAAGGTGACTTTGAGTTTGTTTACAAAAAAAAAAAACATAACAAAGGTCACAGTAGGACGCCCAGCGTTTGTTTGTAGGAGACTAGCCTGCAAATACAGACGCGTCTCTCCTCGGTCCACGTCGCTTTGGACGTTCGGCGAAACGTCTCTAGTGGAGAGGAGCTAGGAGAGTTGGCTATTAGGAGACGAAACTTGTGGTGTTAAAGGAAAATGTTATGGAAACATTGTATTGAGTTGGTGGTTACGTCAAGGGACAGTAAGAAAGCAAACAACTCAGTATTTGCTTTGCCAGTATTTGCTTATACCAGTGGTTTTACAGAAGTATTTTTTTATCGTTTTCATGTCAGATTCACGTCTGCTCAGCAGCGCACGATAGAAGTGTCGAAAAAAGTTGTACCTCTATCCGTAAGCTCACATTACTTCCACAAACATCAGTCTGGAGGTATGTACTAAAATATTCCTCATATTTTCCTTCCGTATGACCTTACTGCGTTTATTTCTCGTTGAATCAGATCTTTTGCTTAACAGTCAGTCAATCAGCGTTACGACACGGTCAAGTTAATTCAGGCCACCCGTAAAGGATTCAAAAGCTGGCACTTAAATCGGTTCAGGTTGCCTGAGCGATTCCATTTCCAAACCACTTTATAGAACCAGCTCGCTCTATCAACAAAAATGTTAAAACCACATTTTCGTGCTTCACAAGTGCGGATAAACCTTCCTACTTTGATTAAAGTGTCACTACTAAGTCAACATAAATGACTGCTTACACGAATTTGACTTCAAAACGGACGGTTGACGGTTCGTGTTAATTAGGGATCTGATTTACCAATAAAAGGCCGTCCACGCTTAGAGAATTGTAAAGTCATTCCAACATCATCTAATTATTGTCCTTTTCTGCAGCACCTCGCCTTTCAACAACTGCACAGGACTTTGTTAGGCCAGACAGAATGCCAGGTAGATACTATTACACTAACATAGACCTGCTTGCTTTTCAAAAGAAAGTTATGCCAGGAAACTTTTAGAGCCACGCGCAGCTCAAACAGTAAAAACCCCGCACGTAATAACCTAGTTTTTGACAGCCTATTAGGCTAACAGTGGCCAGTTAAAGTCCCTTTATATAAGAACCTGTTAACTACTTTAGCTTTAATTTTGAGACAGATTCCTTATTTTATAGTGATTTGCAAACTTTCATTTATGCTGGTCGACGTAAAGTGGCTCCGTTATCAATACAGGCGCATTGAGCTATGACACTTTTCGTCGTGCGTGGTTTTAGCATGGTTTACATAGTTTAGTCACGTCTCTTTTTCTGTGCATAGGAACTCCTCGACTCTTTGTACAGTAAAATGAACATCCCTTAAAAAAGCACGGGTGGATTGTTACTGTTTTAAAAGCACACCACTTGGATAATGCGAACATTTGGAGGAAGGAAGCAGAAAACAACCTCAGCATTGAGCAATCAAAAGGCAGTGAAGTACAGTCCGGCTACAGCTACTAGTTGTAAGATTCAAACTAAGCTCTGAAGCTTCGTGTTAGTGCACCACTAATTAACAGTGAAAAAGCATGGCGTCTTGTCCGTAGAACACTAAAAATGATGTAGGGAACAGATTATAAAAATTGATATATTTTTGTGGTAAAAAGTGGTATTTATTTTTATATTGAATGGGATGTATGGTTCTGCAAAGGAGGAGGTTATCGTGGTTAGAGTTGAATGGAAGAATTGAGAATAAAGGAATAGTTCTCCGGTAAGAAAGTGTCATGATTTACATAGCACTACTTCAACTTCTGGGTAAAGAAGTTGAGCAGAAGGTCGTTATTAGAGCCTGTTTACATATAATCTCTCATTTAAATTTGATCACGTTTATGTTTCACTTCAATGTCTGAACACAATGCTGGTTGTAAAACAATGGAAAGGTGTATTGTAAAAACGGATAATGCCTTCGCTCCTCGGCCATCTTAAAAAGAGTAACCTTGCGCTATGAGCTTGCTCATTATTTTTAAGGAGACCTCGGAGCTATAAATGATATGATATGGGTGACGAATAACTCTTTTATTCCGGAGTGAAATTTCAGCGTCAATTTATAATTTTACATGTGAAAGTAAGGAAATGCCATGGAAAATGTGCGTACGGGGCTCATTTAATAAAACTTTTACAAGTTTAATTCACAAATGTGGCTATTGTTTTCAGACTCTAAAACAATGGCTACTCTTGTAAATTACACTTGTTAAAGTGTTTTTAAATTGGCCCCGAAGTTAAAGTAAAAGATGTTACGAGTTGAGATGTGAGCGCGCTGTAAAAAAAAATCAACACAAGAAAAAGCACAATTTTCCACAGCAAAAAGGATTCTAATGCGTATATTGTCGAAATTCAGATAATTTTGAAATTAAAATGTTTACTGTAAACCTTTCTGTGCCTGGAGTTCTCGTTATAGTGATTAAGTCAAAACGTGTGGGCGTTATCACCCATGATTTTTAGAGGTAATCAAATGGTACATCAGTGAAATAAGAAAGTAATTGCACTTGTCACCTTCTGAAAAGGTAGTTTTCTTTCACAAACATTGACCGCCATGGAAGAACATGTTTTTATTTCATCTTTCTGTCTTTTCATTGTCCTTCAGCAAACCAGCAGTCATCTCTACTCTGCAAGTAGAGGCTACCTATTCGCGGTTATGTATGGATGTGCTAAAAGGGCCTGTCTTTTGCACAACGCTACTACATATCGCGTAAGATCTAAGCCTTTGCTCACAGAATTCGAAAGACTTGCGTTGGCTAATGCAGCGGGGAGGAAAATACAATGGAACCCCGATATAACGTCATGCCAAGGGAGCAGTAAAATTGTATCGTTATATCGGGAAATCGTCATATCGAAACTCCCGATATAACGATATGGCCGTAAAATTACCGAAAATAACGTTTTATCTGGGTAGACCTAACATGTACTTTTTACTGCATAAATTCTGTCTTAACATGAATGTCCCAACGTTCTTAATCCTCTATCTTCCTACGGATTATTTAAAATTACCGAGTGTAAAACAATCTTCAATATCGAAACGTCTTTTTCTATATATTTCACGCTTTTATCATTCATTATCTTCATCTTTATTCATAATAAATAGTCTAAAACAGTTTAACCGTGTCGCTTTAGCCTACAGTATATTAAGAAAAACGCCCGTAAAAAGAACTTCTTAATTGCAAAAAGGAAAAGTGTATAAAAAGATCCGCAAAATATTTCGTGAGAATTTTTTACTGCCCTTTACATGAATCATTTGTTGGTTCTCCTAATGACGTCGTAAGCCAACCATTATCAAGAGAGAATAGAGAGCGTTTTCACTCGCGTGGCCAACATCTATGCCAATCTATTGCAGCGAAAGAAATTGTTAAGCGTTTACGTAAAACAGAAATCAAATTCTCGAGTCTCTTGAGGATTTTCTTGCTACGTCAAGAAAAAAAGGTACACCAATATGGCCGCCGTTTCATTGTTTTGGAATACCAAGATTAGATGGTCGCCGTGACGTCATGTGAAAACGCTCTGTAGATCACGTGCAAAAAACAGCCCACCATCTGCGAGAAACATAAGTGGTTATTGTTCCTAAACAGAAATATGATCAAAATTCTTCTGTCCTCTGAAGATAAATCATAACCTCTAGATTCAGATTAGATTCAGTTCCGACTCCATTGGTCTACAACATTACCGACATCAATCCATAAATTTGCTCTTTCGGCAAAAAAGGATCAAAACATGCCTACTATACTACTCTAAACTGTTTATGCCTGCTTAGTTGACAAGTAAATCATTGGAGTTTTCAAACAGCAGTGGTTTTGACACTTTTGAATCCCACACTTTTTACGACGAGGTCATTAGATTCCAGCTCGTTTTCACAGGTTTCACAGTTGTATTGTAACAATTCCATCTGTTCTTTTGGCTGAGCTTTATCTGACACCCCCTTACAGCAGCACGAAAAAATGCTCCTCCAGCTGAACTGTCCCCAGTCCCCTTGTGGTCCAATAGTACAGCAAAGAGCCTGGAAGAAGAAAGTCGAAAAGGCCCACCCGATGGTCATAACTAACATCAGAAAATGGCCCATTTGCAAATAGGACAGCACTCTTGAAGGCATCATCATTGCACCTGAGAAGAGAACGTTAATGCTTAAGTAATATCGAGTTTACGGAAAGTCTCAAAAAAAAGTAGCCGGCCTTCTACCTTGAACCTGTGGTGTCTTCTGCAAGCCTTTCCGGTTTAACGTATTTCTAGTTTATTTATCGAATCACAGCAGAGCTATAATCATATAATCATGCCTCTGACGTTGAGTAACAGACGCGCAATTTGAAATCGCTAACAGCAATCACGGTCGCAAGGAAGATGTATCGGATAAAGGTTCCGATCTTTTATCGCGTTATAAACAAAGCCTAGTGGTGAAAAAACGTCTTCAGCTATCCTTGTAATCTTGACAATAAGCTACACGTTAAAAGATTAGTCGAAAACCGGAAGTAATATTTACCTGCGATGAAAGTTGTGACTGCTGCCATGGTAATAGCGGATCCCATCCGGGACAGAGAGAACCGTACACGTGCCTTCCTGCACTCCTTGTTAGGAGCCAAACAATAGGCTACCCCAAAATGCATGGCGAAGTCAATTGAGACGCCCACTGCGACGGACATGGTTATGGACTCCAAGATATTAAGCTTCCAACCACTCAGAACAAGCGAGCCGGTCGTTACAGAAATAATACCGATAATTGTCAGGATGGCGAACACGCTGACAAGGACGTTTAACGTAGTTAACAACATTACAGCAAACGCCATAGCGATGGCAATTGCCATGGAAACGAGCGTTCCAGAGGATAGACTTTTCTGCAGATCGTAAAATTCTAAGTTACTTGTCCACCATGCTCTTTTCATACCATCAGGAGCGGTACTTGTTTCTCTCTTTAACCAAGACTCCATGCGCTCATAGAATTGGTGCGCAGGCTGGTAAGCACGAGAGAGAGGCACGTTACTATAAATGCTCATATGCACTCCCTTGATATTGCCCTGCTTGTCATAAATGAAGCTTCCTATGGTCGAGTCATGCCGCTTGAATTTTAATAGATGTGCGCGGACACTAGCCTTGACGGCGCACAAGTCCAACACGGTCTTGTTAAATGGAAACGGCATATCTCTGCAGCAAGGGTAATAGGAAATGTTTGGTGTCAGAGGATCATGGCAGCTTTGGTTGTAGTACTTTTCCAGGAAACAATAGCTTGCTTCTCCTTCTTTTTTTGCATAAAAGCCCTGCCGGCGTAATCTTTTACAGAATCCCAGAAGCCATTTTTGGGACTCGCTCTTTGTAACATTAAAAGATTTGTCCCATTCAAGGGTGCCGTAATCATATGGATTTAGTTGGTTTCCATTATCAATTGCTTTCAAGCCCCAAAATACCGCAATGAGAAAGGTGGCACTTCCATGAGAAGGGCTAGTCTCAAAGCGGAAATTTTCTTTCAGGTTAAGCTCATAAACCTCTAGGGGATGCGACGCTTCAAACATTTGGAAGTCGGATGACGTAGGTAGCTGGAAACCCGGCTTAAAGAGAATAATTTCTAAACCACCTAAAGTCAAAACAGAAAAGAGGGCAATCCAAAAAAACCGAAATTTGATAACTATGTGAGGGAGAAACTGTTCAAAGAAATACCTAACAAAGTAACCCACGTATCGCTCGTACAAATTTCTCATGGTTTGCCACGTGGACCTTTTATTGCAGGACCAAGGAACACACAATTTCTCGTTGATGACGGACACAGCAGGAAACCACGTGACCATCATACTAAACTTGCATAAAATGGCTATGCCTGCATAGATACCAAAACATTTTATGGTGGTTATCTGTGAGCTGAAGTTTGCTATGAAGGCGGCCGCTGTCGTGAAACTGGTGACAAACATCGACAGCGATGCATGCTTCAACGTTTCAGAGGTAATGCGCGCGAGT